TGCTATCACTGCCCCACAGCCCTCCCATCTTCTAGTCACATCCTTGGGACAATCTTCCCTTCCTACCTGCTCACAGGTGCACCTGCTGTGTCTCAGTGGCCGCCATGCCCTCTTCTTGCTCCCTCTGTGCCCCTGCAGTATGGCTGGAGGGACTGCTGACTCCCCGACTCTTGTGCTTTTCCTTTAGGGTCAATGGGCACACTCAGTGACTTCTGGGGCCAATGCAAAACCTCTTGAGCCGGATGTTTCTGGTTAGTGGTTTCATTCTTCTTTGGTTTCCGTTAGGGTGCAGAGCTAGCCCCCATCTCTTACTGAGAAAGAGACTTTATTTTGGAAGTTTCTCACTTCCTCCTGCCTGTTGGTACCCTGCGTTTCTCTTTCTCACTATGCCTCATGAGGATGGGGAATGAAGTTCTTAACAGTCTCCGGGAGTGATTGTTTTAGAAGTAGATTAGGACCCAGGAAACAGAACCCACAGTTGCTTTCCAGCACAGTGGGGCACACCCTGGGAGCGTTAGAAACACAACTGTGCCGATGCCTACTGCTGGCTTGCGTGGTCCAGGACAAGGCTTGTGCGTTAGAACTGGATGATGCTGATCTATTTGATAAACCCATTCAGTGATCTCAAAGGCTGGACCCTGATCCCGCACAATTAATATCATTCAAGAATTTATGGAAACATTCATATTCTTGGTTTTATCTGGATCGACTGAACCCAAATCTTCGGTTTCATATGTTTCGGAAGCTCCAGAGATAGTTCCCATGTGTACAACAGTGTGCAGCCAGTGCATCACAGTGTGCACAGAAAGGGAAAGGGTTCACTGGAGGCGGTGTCTCACTTGTAAATCCATGTGAGAGTTTCTCAAAGTGTGGCTCCAGATCCACAGCATCCCTGACCTGGGAACTTAACAGAGGGACCAATTCCCACACCTCTACCACCCTCTCAAATCCTTGCAGGCTGCTGGGTCATCTCTGTTAAATACACAGTTCCAAACAATTCCAACATATGCTGAACTCCAACTGCCCTGATAAACCACCTACCTACCTGTCTCTCCTGAGACTCTCATATGACTTAGGGGGCCTAGGTGTGGGGACTGTAAGGGAAGCAGTGCTCGACCACCAAGTCACACCCTGTTTTGTGGCTTTGTAAGGAAAGGATGGCTGTGGATGGCTGTACAGGGGCTCACAGTTATTGCTCATGAATTGACAACAAGTTTGGGGTTAGCCGGTACGGACTGTTCTGCAGGTTGTTGCCTGAACACCACATGTAAGCGTTGGAAGGAAGATCAGGGCAGTCAGTTCTGGGAGTGAGACTCAATAGGCTAGGTTGCGGGAAAGTCTTGTGTGTGCACATTAGTGTTTGTTGTGTGTAGAATAGAGTTCAAATTCTCTCCAGGACAGGCAAGTGGATGCTGTCAAAGGCAAGGCAGTGGAGATACGTGTCAGTCAATGATCAATGACTAGGCTAGGACATAACACCAACAGGCTAGTTTAAAGGAATGACAGAGACAACAGCAAAAAGAACAACATCTGACCCAAGTAATTGTTTCCTAAGAGACTTGAGTTAATCATGTGGCTTAGCCTTGGGCAAATCAACCCCACTGTTCATGCAAGGACTCTCATGAAAGAACGAAAGCGTGAATATTTTTTATTTGTATACCTTACCCTGCTTTCTCTCCCATATCACAATATGCTGTTTTGTTTGTTATTGTGCTTACAAATGGTGTTGCTTTGTGTGTATGCTCAGATTTGTAGAGTTTGCCAGTTTTTTGTAGTATAAAACTTTTAACTTACAATACGAAGAACGTTTTGGAAGATAGTGTCAATTTTGCTTTAAAAATGAAAATCTGTTTTTTTCTGAATTTCATTCTTTTCTTTTCTTTTTTTTAAAAGTTTATTAAAATATAAAAGTTTCCATTTTTGCCCTTCCTCCCAACACCCTCCCACTCCCCCCACTCCCTCTCCTCTTCCCTCTCCATCCCTAAGAGCAGTCAGGGTTTCCTGCCCTGTGGGTAGTTCAAGTTCCTCCCCTCTCCCTCCAGGACCAGGAAGGTGAGTATCCAATCAGACTGGTTCCCCAAAAATCCAGAATATGCAGAGGAAACAAGTCCCAGAGTCATTGTCAATGGCTTTTTAGAAAGACTTCGGGCCAGCCACATTCAGAGAATCCAGCCTCCTCCAGAGAATCTGGTTGGATCAAGCGCTCCTTCAGTCCCAGTCAACTGGCCTTGGTGAACTCTCATTAGATCAGTCCCCTTGTATCAGTGGGTGATCGCTCTCCTTGCGGTTCTGATTTCCTTTTTCATGTTCTTCCTCCTTCTGCTCCTCCTTTGGACCTTGGGGGGCTCAGTCCGGTGCTCCAATGTGGGTCTCCGTCTGCATCGCCATCCATTGCCGGATGAAGGTTCCCTCTGATCTTGCCCTCCCTGCTCACGTTCTTCTTCCTTCTGCTTCTCGGTTGGACCTAGGGAGTTAAGTCCAGTGTTCCAACGTGGGTCCCTGTCTCTAACTTCATCTATTGCCAGATGAAGGATCTATGGTGATAATCAAAATATTCATCAGTATGGTTATGGACCAAGGCCAGTTCAGGCACCCTCTCCTCTGTCCAGAGAACAATCTGGGGATCTCTCCTTGGACCTGGGATCCCATTTACAGTCAAGTCTCTAGTAAAGCCTAAACTGACTTCCATAGTTGAGATATATTCTTCCCTGAACCCATATCTATCCTTCCTCCCTCCCCCCCTTCCCAGTCCCCCGAGCATTTCCCATTCCTCCTCTGCTCCCTTCTCTCTAACCTCCTCCCCTTCCAACAACCCTCCCAACCCCCCATGCACCCTTGGTTACCTGGGACTCTTGTCTATTTCCAATCTCCAGGAGGAAAACTACCTGAATTTTCTTCAGGTTCACCTTCTTATTTAGCTTCTCTAGGATCACGAATAATAGGCTCAAAGACCTTTAATTATGGCTAGAATTCACTTATGAGTGAATACATACCTTATTCCTCTTTTTGGGTCTGGCTTACCTGACTCAGTAAAGCGTTTTCTTTTTCTTTTTTTTTATTTTTCTATTTATTTATTTATTTATTTTTAATTTTTACTGGGAACCCCTCAAAAATCAAGTCTCCTGCAAACCCTAGAATGGCTCTCTTAGTTGCGATATAAACTTCCCTGCTCCCATAACCATCCTTCCTCCCTCCCCCCCTCCCATTCCCCCAAGCCATCCCCAATTCTTGCCCTCTCCCCTCTCCCTAACCATCTTCCCTTACTTCCACCCCCCCACCCCCCATGCACCCGACTTTGCTTGGCAATCTTGCCTAGTTCTATTATCCAGGAGGACTCAAGTGTTTTGAACTTAAAACCAGGACTGCTTCCACGTGCTCAGGATGATGCTGTTGAATGGCTTGGAGAAGGACGAGGTCACGTACACTGCTGTCTCCCTAGAGTTGGCAAAGCCGGCTCCAGCTCTCTACAGCTCATGCATTGATGTGCGAGACTTGACAGTCCACTTTGGGATCCCACAGACCTCGTATATTTTCACAGGAGTTCTTTCGCCCCAGCTGTTTCCGCCTTGCTTGGAATTCTGGGCCAGCTCAGCTTGCTTTATAGGTGAGGCTAGTGGAATACTCAGACCAGCTGAAGGATTTTATTAGTGATAGGTAATCAGGATGTCATACACGTGGAGGGGCTCATTAGAATCGGATTATAAGGCTTTGGTGGAAACACACGAGGACCCCTTCTTTAATGCTTAGACGTCATCACGTGGTGGTTGAGGAGCGGCTGTGTGAGCTTCGAGCATAAACAGCCTTTGGGTGAAATTCCTGAATGCTTGATCCTTAGAGAACCATAACTCCACAGTCATAAAATACAGCCTGGGACCTCCTTGACCTCGAGGTGTGATCACAAGCTCAGAGGTAGCTCCGGAGGGTGAGTCACTTCCTTTTCCTTTGTGCAGGACTTTTCTGTTTGGAGAAATGCTCTACTTTTCTGAAAAAGTCATAAAGGGTTGGATGGAGTCTGAAAGGGAAATACACATCTCTGAACTCTTGAGCTGGTGCTAAAAGATGGCTGGGATCTCTGGCATACAGCAAAATAAAATTATAAATGTAGAAACTCGCTCATTTTTAAAAATGAATTTTAGTAAAGGGCAATGCTCCCTTTATCCAGCATTTATAAGTCTGTTTTCTCATTGTCACCCCAACATATGCATGCATATTTACATGTGTGTGGGTGGGTACATAGGGAGGCCAGAGGTTGAAGTTGGGTGTCTTCATCATTCTATGGTGATTCTGGCATCCACCAATTTGGCAAGGTTAGCTGCACCTCCAGCTCTAGGAATCTGCCCGTCTCTGTCTCCCCAGAGCTGGGGTTGCAGGTGCGTGCCAGCACACCTAGCTTTTTAAACGGGAATCCAAGCTCAGACCCTCGTGTTTGTGCGGCAGGTACTTACTGACTGAGCCATCTCCCCAGCCCTGGCCCCTTGTGATCTCAGCGCCTCATCATGCTGAACTGGAAATGTGTGTGTGGAGGTCTCACCGCTGATGGAAGGGGTTCAGCTCCTCTGGAGAAGGCTGGAATGCTGGGCCAAGTAGCTTCCTGTGAAGGATGACTGTGGCTTGGGAGCACAGGAGGGGCCACAGGGATAACAAGGGACTGGCCACGCAGGAAGGGCTGGGCTACCAATCTTGGTGCATAAGGCTGAAGGACTGTATGCTGAAATGGATGGGAGCACTTGATCTCTACCAACACCGCAGGGAGCAATGTGCACGGCCTCTGCAAACCTCTCCACGGGAAAATCGACTTCTCGACTTCTCCTCTGACCGTTCCCCCCGCCCCGCCCCATTTCCTCTTTCCAGACACATGATTGAGTGTGAACCCCCCACACACACCTAGTGCACTCTTTCTGAGCAGATAGGTAAGTCCCAGTTTAAGAAAACCCAGATACCAACTTACAAATTTCAAGTTTAATGAGAATATGATTTTGAATATTACACAAGTAAAGACATTTATTTATACAATGATTTGGATGTTGGAAAAATCAGTTTTTACCTTCTGATACTTCTGGAAATATTTCTTTGGTGCAAAGAAGGCACACTGGCATTTTCAATGAATTCAAGTTTCTAGCCCCACGTCTGGAGAGCATCTCCAATGATCAAGACCAAACTTCCATGACAAGAACACTCTCCTCTTTCTCCTCTGGGAGCCCTCCCATAAGTAACTCAGCTCGAGACAATTCCTTGCTGCTCCTGCTTAGTTGATTAGTTTTCAGGAGATGGAAGAGAATAAACATTTTGTAGGTAGAAGGACTTTGGTGTCCTTCTTTGTCATAAAGAAATCTCTGGCAATGAGAAAACAGAGTGTGACTGGACAAGGCCTGGTTGAGGCAGTCGGACCCCGTTAGTAGCAGAGCAGGGACCAGGCCTCTTGCTTTGCAGGCTAATAAACATTTCCTGGCTTCATTCTTTGCTCCACTAAATAACTGAAGGGGGTGACTGTAAGTTCCCCCTAAAGAGAGTCCCCAAGGAGTCATCAGTGGGTGTTTAGTCTAAACTAACAAGGCTTTGATGAGTACTATGGATCTTAGTGAGGAGGGTGGGGGTGGGCAGTGTCCCGACTGGTGATCACATGCACATCAGATAGAAGGGAGGGTGCAGACTGTGTGCTGGAGGCTGCATTTATGTGGCATGCTTTCGAAAAAACAGCTTAAGAGACGTCGTAGGCCTGGTACTTTGTTATCGTTGATGCCCTTCTGTTTTTCTCCTGGGACAGGAAGTAGATGCGGTTGGCCTCTGGGTAGGTGACTTTGCTGAGCGGGAGCTTGTAGATGGCAGGGTTGTTGGTTGTCAGGAGAAGGAAGGTGAGCGCTGAGAGGCAGAAGGGCCAGGTGCAGGGTGGTAATCCAAACTAGAGGGGGTGGGGGATAAGAGAGATTTCTGTTACAGCAGATGTGAATGCTTGTTTATCAGGTAGAGGGAGGGCTGATCAATCGGTGAGGATGTTACTTAACTGATAGCCGGTATAAACAAAACCAGGCCGTTAGTTTATTCTGCGACAGGATAAGCACACACCTTCCAAAATACAGTCACTGGAACTCTAAAGATGTTAAATGTGTTTTTACATACAAGACTTGTTTTGTCTTGAGGAACCTGGCGAGTCTATGCTTACAGCTCCAGGAACTATGGACACTGTTCAACACTTCCTCAATCAGCCTCCTTTGAAGGGATGCGTTTGGTATCCATTTTGTAGCTAAAGACTTAGTTGTGGTTGATTGGCCTAGAGACAGGCACCCGGTTCAAAATAGGCACATGGCGTGAGAATCAAAAGAATCCCTCTTTTGAGAATGTGAATTGAAAGGTACAGAGACAGTGTCAACAGTGCTCTGGATCTGAAGGACTGGAGAGGAGCCGAGCAGTGGTAGCTGGGGATTCAGAAGCTGTGTGAACAGAAGTCCTTTGCAGAGAGACCTAGGAAGTGAGCATATAGGGAGAGCAGCCGAGGAGTGCTGGGTCTGTCCTTGGGGCTGAGGTGACGGTCAGCCACCTCTCCTCAAGGCTTCGCCTACCATCCCGTTCATTCTCACCACATTGACCTGGCCTTTACTCCTGGAGATGCCCTGCACCATTTTAACACTTTTCCCCATTCTTCCACGGAGATAACCGAGTGAATGTTTACAAAGAGCCTACAGATCCAGTTATGAGGCAGATCAAACCATCCTTCCAGCCTCTCAGCATTTTACTATAACCAATAGAGGGCTCAGCTGGTGCCATGGGGGTCTCACTGCTGGTCGTGTGGAAGTTCAAAGACCACACTGTTAGCAAGACGTGGAAGTGCCGGAATAATACCAGATCAAGGCTGGAAGGGATACATATTCATGAGTGACGGATTCCGCTCAGGATGTCTTCCCAAAGCTCCAATAAGACACAATAAAGTGTTTTGGGAAGCATTCATAGAAGCCCCATGGTAGAAAAACCTCAGTTTTGATTACCTCATTATAGTTTTTGAATCTTTCTGAGACCTTTTCCCTCAACAGTGTACTGCTGCCTACTCAGAGACTTGTTGCTTAGTGCATGCCAAGTACCCCATAAATGGTCCTCAGGGCACAGCCATTATTATCAAGCGGATAACAGCACTGTCGAAGGCCAGGACTTGCATACACATATTCTGGTTAGAAAGGCAAAGAATAACGGCTTCTAGGGCCTTTCCAAGGAGTCATTGAATGGCTTTATAAATGAAGTTCAATGCTTTCATATTGTGATCCTCAATGAAGTTGGAAATTTCTCCTGGGTAAGTTGATAGCTTTTTTTTTTTTTTTAAATCCTTGACAATCATCACCGTCACAAGTAATTTTATTTTGTTTGGAGAAATGTCTACATGGAATGGCCTAATCTATAAGTTTTCAGCACCTGGAGGAAGACCACTTAGCAATGCGCATACCTAGATCTGGGAACAAAAGCTTCCTGCATCTCTTCTAGTGCCTTGCCCAAGATAGGCACTTGGCATACTTATTGAATGACGGATCAGGTAAATTGTTGGTGCCAGAACTGATGACAGAAGCCTAGGACAGATGAGGCCCCGAGAGGTCATAATCCAGCTTCTTGCCTCCACCTGGTGTTTCTGAGGTCCTCCCTGCTTGGTTCTATCATTCCCTGCTGTGTGCTCACTCCTTCAGGGCTTCATCCCCTCAATACCTCCTTCTTTCTTCCACTTTCTCCTGTCATAAAACTCCAAGATTAAAATACGGCTGTGGAAGGGCCTGGCTCTCGTGTAGTCCCTGGGCTAAGCTGGAAGTGGACTGATGGGGATTGAGTGGTTGCAAATGCTGTGTCAAGTGTTGTAGTGAACAGGCAAATGGATGGGTGTGTGCTAAGTGTTGTAGTGAACAGGCAAACAGGTGAATGTGTGTCAAGTGTTGTAGTGAACAGGCAAATGGATGGAGCTAGAAAACATTATACTGAGTGAGGTAACCCAGACCCAGAAAGACAGTTATCATATGGACTCACTCATAAGTGGTTCTTAAACATAAAGCAAAGAAAACCAGCCTACAAATCACAATCCCAGAGAACCTAGACAACAATGAGGACCCTAAGAGAGACAGACATGGATCTAATCTACATGGGAAGTAGAAAAAGACAAGATCTCCTGAGTAAATTGGGAGTATGGGAACCATGGGAGAGGGTTAAAGGGGAGGGAGAGGAAGAGAGGGGAGCAGAGAAAAATGTAGAGCTCAATAAAATCAATTTTAAAAAATAAAAAAGTGTTGTAGTGAAGGCACACCTAGCATGTGATGAGGAGCAGAGGGGGACTCAGTCTGCTGGGAGAGACAGCACAGTGTCAGAAAAGGTCAGCTTGGCGGCTTAGCAAACAGTGTCCTATGCTAAGTGCCACCCTCTCTTTCACTGAAGGTGAAGAATGAATCCAGACAGGTATGTATGGAATATCTACTCCTCCTGCAGATGTTGGACCTATGACTTTTCCTGCTCACATAACCGGCCTGGCAGAACTGAATATATTCTAAAGAGACACTTATGTCTCCCATTTGCTGGGATATTAAAACAAAAAAGGACCTCAAGAAATGGAAATTTCCCTAGGAATCTCATGCTAAAAAATATGCCAGGTCTGGGGATGGGGGTGGTGCCTTGTCTTCAGGAAACAGATTCACAACTTGTTGGAGCACCTTCCAGGAGGGGGCCAGCGTTTACACAGTGACGGGTCAATAGTTGGGAGGAGTTCACCTTGCCTGGGACTGCGTGGATGTATGTACCCCTTGACCTCTATTGAAACTCCCGTCTCACCTCGGGACCCTTGAAAGATGAACCTGAGGGAGAGCCACTGAATCTTTTTTCCCCTCTCCCCATTATGGCTACATTGAACACATTTCCTTTCCCTGCCTTTTACTATTAATTTGATTGTTTTAAATTCACTTCTCAAGAATGGGTGGCTGAACTTGACTTCTTGGGATACAGACTGTGACCCCACGTTGAGCAACCCTTACCCATGAGCAGTTTCCCATGTATTCTTGGGTGGCGTTGGGTGCAGCAATTTGATCGGTAAGCCCTGGGCACTCTGTGGGTGGTCTGTTCCAGCGAAGTGGCAGCCCCTGCTTTGCACACAACCCTAAACTGGGCCCAAGGCAAAGAAGAGGTTCTGGGACAATGTGTGCCCATAAAATCTTGAGCTTAAGTCTCTTTGGATGAGGAGATCTCAGCTCTCTCTGTTCCCTGAAACCATTGCCAATATCCCTCGCCATGAATATACTAGTTGCTATGGGATAAAGGTGTACACTGTCCTCAATCCTGGTGGGCAGACAACTTACATACAGATGCAAGTTAAATGATAAAGATTTAAAAATCAGTTCTATAGGATGGTAGACTGGAATGGAGCTATACTTGAAAGATTTCTCTCTGAAGGGCTCTCCACTGGCTGCTGGTGATGGGCTTGGCCCACCCAAAGTGGACATATAAGGTTTTGAGACCTAGTTCCTTCTTGTCAGTATTAAGGTGGGTATCAGGATGTGAGCCAATGGGCAGAGGGATTTGATAGAGTGTTTGGGAAGTGGGGGCACGGCATGTGGCTTGTAGCCCACACAACTTACCACAGACAGCACGTTAGTCAGGGCGGCGCTGAGATAGGCTGAGAACAGCGCTGGAAAAAGAACCAACCGTAAACAGCTCAGTAAAGATCCAACGGCAGCTCAGCCTAGTGCACTTGCGCCCTCTTGGTTGATTCTATGTCTAAAATGCTATCTCTCGCCCGCACCGAGTTGCATTTCCTTTGCTTTGCAGCTTTGAAAGCGTGAAATTCCACGGAAATGCCAGTGCAGCTAAGAGAGCAGATGCTCTTCGTTAGAAAGGGCCAGCAGTCAGCTTTGACGGTTCCCTTGGGTCCCGCCAGCACGCCTTCCAGTAAAGGAACATTTAATAGCATAAACCATAAATGAAAGTTGTACAATAAAGCAAAAGCAAGTGAGCCTCAGAATTCCCTGTTGGACTATTCCATCAGGAGCTATTAGCATAACATGGGTTTCTAGGGAGAAACGGCATCCTGTAAGTTTGGGGGAAGACCAAACCTCCTACCGCCTTGTGTTTTAGTCTTGGTGGAGAAGGCCATGATCAAGTTGTAAGCTGGGAAGAACTAAGTACTGAGAGAAGATGGAAGGCATTAAAGTGGGCCAACAAAACTGGGCTTGGCTTTGGAGCCTATTTTCCAAAGAGGGTATTCTATTGTCCCTAAAATATTAGCGATAGGTTACTATATGTCTAGCCAGTGACAACACCAACCATATCCTTCAGCATTCCTTATAGGTAAGAAGTATTATTGTCTTGATTACATATACCATCACCACCACCGCCACCACCACCACCTCCACCATCACCACCACCAAATGATAAATCCTCTTAGAGGACTTGGAGTCCCCAGCATCTTTCCCTTGACTACAGTTAAGCAGACCTGAACCTTCCAGGCTCTTCCTAGGTGTTAGTACTATTCTTGCATCAGTCATTCACCTGATTTCATTTTGACCACAGTCCTACAACTGCTTGTGTCAGACATCAAGATGTGAGGGGCCTTCCGGGGACTGTGTCCGACAGGGCAGAGCCCTGACCAGCTGGTCCCTAGGGTGCGCTCTTAACCGCTGTGAGCTGCAGCTCCTCAGGATATTATGAGGTTAGAAAGATGAGAGGAGAGGGGCCCACCCAGGTACCACAGACACCCCAGAATTTGGGGGGGGATATAAGATCCACAGGGCAGCTCTAGGCTTGGTCTGTGAAGAGCAGGGGCTCAGAGAGTGGCCTTTCCTGAACCCAGACCTACCCGACTGCCCCACTGTCCCTGGGGGCAACAGTCAAAGGATTAATTTCTGTGCTCCCTTGGCCTCACTGCTATCTTATTTTATAATCTTACTTGGTCTGTTGTATCAAGAAGACCTCCCCAAAGCCTTGCGTGTGCTCATGTGTAGTACCAGAATTGTAGAACAGCGGTGGTCATAAAATGGTTAGAAATGAATTTCCAAACCATCTGAAAACAACAAATACATGACTACGTATGGTTCAGAAAAATTCTCTGTCCCAGAAAACATATTCTGGAATTTTTTTATTGTAAACTTATTTTTTTATAACCTTATTTGCTAACATTTCAGCATCCATGGATGTACTGAAATAGAAACTCCATTTTAAATATTTTGGTCAAAAGGTTTTTTTTTTTCATTCATAGAACATGAAAGATGCTCTAGGTTGAGAATATATAAATCCAGTGAGTTATGACTGTCATCCTAACTTCCTATGATGCTGAAGAAATAGGCAAGAGGCGCGTGGTCATCTGAATGGTTCACGGTTAGTGGCTGATATTTAGCTCTGGTTACTGTGTATGGTGTGCGTTGCCCAGTTCTGCATGGAACGGTTAACATCAGGGAGTTGCTCTCCCAGCTCCATCGCCAGCCAGGAGAGCCGCAGCCCCAGGAGACGACCCTGAGCAACAACGAAAACTATCACCTAAGAACACCTGCCTCCAAGTGGCCAAACATCATGTACCCAGTGAACACAGTTGAAGACGCAGACCACAGTGCCAACCAACAGCTTTTACAAAGCGAACAATTGCCCTGTCATCTTCTGGGAGTGGCAGAACCGTCACGAGCGGTTTTCTTTCGCGGGGGTCCCCACGGGCCTTCCCTGTGCTCTGGAGGGTGTTCTGGGAACGGTACCTACCACAGGCTATGGCAAGCAGGTGGGTCTGCCAGGTAATGACGTAGAACATGCCTCCGATGGCGATGCAGGCCAGAGCACTGTTGAAGCCGCACAGGCCGAAGTAGATGGAGTCAAACGGTGTGGCGATGCTGAGTGCTGAGGGAAGGAGAGCATCGGAACTGAGTGAGGTCGTGGGGTGCTCACCGGCCTGCCTGAGACACGCCGGTCAGGTGTACTCACTCCTAACCCAATCTTCAAGCCAGAATCAGCTACCAGGATCACAGGCAGGCATTCACCGAGAGGAATTTCAGCCTTTCAGTGAAAATACATGTAAAGGAAATAAATGGGCAGGGCCACAAGAACAGTAGTGGCTGGGCTGTTATGAGCTGAAGAGATTCTGGGAGTCAGGACTCTGAGTTCTGATTTAAACAGCACAGAGTACGTCCTTTGTCACACACATAAAAACCTTAGTTGGAAACAGAGTCCCAATCTTTCTCATTGGATATCCCTCAAATACTCTTGGAAAAATCTTTCCCAGACTTTAAATTTATGCTGAGGGTTAAATATCTGATGACAAAGTCCAATTTTGTGGATAGCTTTTGCTTATAGGAACATGAGGGCACTAGCCCCAAAATGCGGGAAACAGGAGCAAGGGGAAGAGGAGACTTCCAGAATCAGCAGGATGGTGATAAAGACACATCAGAGACTTTCTCTGAAGCCGGCCCCGGCACCGACCCCCTACCACTCACCAAGGAGGATGGTATCCCAAGCAGTGACACAGACCTGCGAGCATCCCGATGGTGGATCCGATGGCTGCATGCAAGCAAATGAGAGGTGAAGCTATGAACAGCGCCACGAGGACGATTCCTCCGGTCCAGGGATCGTCACAGCCATACACTTGACCGATCCCCACCGGGATGGCTCTCAGGAGCTGGACAACGACAGGGTCACGCGTTGGTTACGGAAGTAAACAGGCAGCTCACACCTCCACACCAAAGTCCCACGCAAGTGCTTTTTGGACAGGGCCTTACTGTATTTCTTGAGCTGGCCTTGGAGTTTCAATCCTCCTGCCTCAGTCCCTTGAGTGTACACTAATGCTTTACAACAGGACTCCTGGAAGACATTACTGCTCAAGTAGGTTAATGCCAAAGGGAGCAGAAGCTTTGTCCTCTCAATTTTGAGTTCTTGGAGCATTAAGTAGTTAGAATGTTGAGTTTCTTTCATTCAGAGACATCAATGTGGGGGATTTATTCTCTTATAAAGTGAAATGGAAGCATTTTCAGAAGGGCATTTACTATTTATTAGAAATATAATACATATCTGATAAAAACTTTCATATTTTTAAAAACAAAATGATAAAAGCCTTTCGGGAGGAAAATGGTCCTCTATACTTCCAAGACGCTCATGTCTGGCTGTGGCGATAGTCCTGTCTGGCCGAGGAGCTGGAGTCTGGGGTCTACAGAAGGGCCTTGCAGGGGCAGTATGGTCTGGAAACCGCCTCAGGTCTTCCTGCAAGTACCCCAAGGTCCTGGGTAGACTGACAGCAAGGGAAAGAGCTGCTACACAGACGGGACGACAGGCCAGGGGGTTAACCTCAGAGGGTTAGCCCAATCTCCCGCCCACCAGGATAGAGAACAGAACGGGGCTCAGCGGTGGCCTGCCAGGACGAGGTGACAGGCAGGAGAGAATACACAGACAACGACTCATGGCTGCTTATTCCCCCACACACCAGTTGTGCCCTCTGGGCATCTCCTTTGTGATCACCCAGCACCACTGGAATCTCTAGACCCTCTTTCTGACATTTATTGCTCATTTTCTTGAAATGTAAAGTACACATTTTAATTGGAAGAAGACCCAACACATAAATCCTGATCATAGTACAGAGAGTTATTCTTCAAGAATGACTGCCCAAAATTGATTTTTTCCCCCTGAATCTTTGGGCGGTGGTTTAAACTATTTGTATAGGATAATTAAAGATATTTCTTTTCTAGAAAAGTCTGAACTATCTTTAATTGAGAATATAATGAGATTTATCTTATGATTTCTAACATCATCTTCGCATAGCACATAGAGCAGAACAATTTTGCCTCCAAAAGATAGGGACTGGGTAAACGCCATGAGCAGGAAAATGCCGAGAGTTTCCCCCAAATCAGCCCCTCTTCTCACCTCTCGCCCATGAATGTCCTTCCTCCACCTGACAAGGACCAAGGGTGAGGCTGACAGAATAATGTCTTTCCTGAATAACGATGCCTCTCAGTGTGTTTGCACGACTCTGTCAGCGACACCATGGAATGCTGAGAGGCACTGGGCGTCATTATTTCTGAAACTTCGTTTAACAAGCCCAATGACTCTGGAGCAAGGGATCGCCAATAATGACGCTCCAGGTTGAGCTATAGATTGGGCCAGAAAGTCCTTTAGTGTAGTGGAAAGTGGGAGGTCTTAGGAAAAGAAAAAGTGCCTCGTTAGTTAAGATGCCTAACGGCCACATTTCCCATCTTGTTTAATACTTTTAATATTGCTTCTTATTCACTATCTTGGCAGGCTTCCAGAGGTCAGTGTCATACATAAAATGCTTTAAAAAGATGAAAATCTCTGCTACCTCTGTTTCTTAATGGAGGTTAAACTGGTGTTTCAAAACACGAGCAAGGCTCGCGCAGAGAACGGAATAGGCTACCATGACATCTTAAGCTGGTGGGTAGCAGTGTGGTGTGTATACTTTAATGGTTCAGGGCTGTGAATGAAAAAAATACACAGTTTGAGTATGTTTAAATGGGGCTTAAGGACCAAAAAGGCTTCCAAATGAAGGAAAGCAGCCAAGAGTCCAGACTACATATCAGGGGGTCAGAGTTCTAGCCTGGACTTGGCTCTCTGTTAATCCACTGTGGAACCTTGGGTGGGTCTTTTAATTTGGCTTTGGTTTCTTCCTCTGTGTTATCATAGGGTGGGACCAGAAACAACTTTTAGCTCCGAGGAGACAAGGATGGGATCTCACAGGATACGTACATAGAATATCTCATACTGTGTACTTGTGAAGAGTCATCCTTTGCTTGTGTTTCTGATGTGCAAAATGAGCATATTCAGTCTGACATTGAATTTGTACAAACGCCATCCTTCCTTCTTTTTTTTAAAAATATGTATTTATTTATTATGTATACAATATTCTGTCTGTGTGTATGTCAGCCATCTCTCCAGCCCCGCCATCCTTCCTTTTTCATGACACCTACCAAAGGCACTTGGACGCTTGACCAGGTGATATTGGGTGTGGCGGCTGCAGGCTGCAAGAGTGTCGTGGGGAAGAAGAGGTTGTAGTGGCCTGTGGCTGCTAGGTACAGGGTCACGGCGATATTGAAGGGCAGCGTGAAGACTGGGAGGTCCCACTTGCTGAAGATGGTGCTCAGGGCACTGGACAGGATGGGGCTGGTGGAAGAGACATGGGAAACCTATCAGCTCTTGTCTGCTTTGGCACTAGAGCACACGGCGGCAGAGAACCCTGGTTCTCCCAAAGACAAGCAGCTTCCTGGCTGTCTTTTCTGGGACTTTCTTCTTTGAGTGGGACACAGAGGCTGGGGAAGGACACTCAGCCTCAGAAGGATGGTTTTAGGAGAGCCTTGGGGTTTCCTCAGAGAGTCATCAGACTCCATTACCTAGGCAGGAGGAGTGAGGTGTGTGGGGGGGAGTCTGGAGAAGACTGGGCAGGGATTACAGTCGTTAGTATATTTTGAGTGGCCAAGAATTCTGCCTTCATTGACAGAGTACCCTCCATTTTCTGGAGATGAAGGAGAAGTCTGGTACTTGGAGGTCTCTGCCTCGTGGTTGGCCTTCAGTCAACCCTGAGAGGGCGTCTCAATCTGGTCAGTAGTCTAAAGGAAGGAGAAAATCTAGTGGGAACAGGAGGGGTGAGATTTCAGACCCTAGGAGGGCTCTGTAGCTTTTAACTTATGTGGCCAGCAGTTTCTTGCTTTGTACTCAGCCAGGGCAGGACCGGAAGCCCTTTGAGAGCTTAGAGAAAGGGTGGTAGCTGGTGAGGCCCTGTCCACAGAGAATCTGGCATGATGGTGATGCTCTCAGGTTATTAGGAACTGCCTCCGGTGGGTGCTTCTCGCATTCAAGCTAAACGATAAATACTTGAAAATGGAAGTAAAAAAGGCGCTCCAAGGTTTGGTTTAAGAAGAATGCTAATTGGGATGGGGAGATGACTCAGCGGGCGAAGTGCGAGGCCAACATTAGGACTCGAGTTTGGATTCCCAGCACCCATGTAAAACGCTGGGCATGGCAACGTGTGTCTATAACCCTAGTTCTGAGGGTGGAGACAGGCAAAATTCTGGATCTGGCAGGCCAACTAGCCCCACCGCAGCAGTGGCCAGGGTCAGTGAGAAACCTTTTCTCAGAAAATGACGTTGAGAGCAATAGAGGGGCAGCTGAAGTCAACCCCTGACTTCCTTTGTGACCATATAGAAGAACACACCTGAATGCATGTGCACACACACACACACACACACACACACACACACACACACACCATGTGTGCATGTGCACACGTGTGCTCACGGGCATTTTAGAAGCAAACTTACCAAGTCATGGACATAAGGATGACAGGGAGAAGCAGCCACCAGTAATAGTTGCCCTTGTCTGAGAACACGGCCATCAGGAGTCCCACAAGCACCCCATTGTAGCCATGGAGTCCTGCTGCAATGGCCGACCTGGGGGCACAAGGATAAGCTGATGGAGTGGAGGCCCCCCCTGTGATTTTAACTGTTTTCAGAATCACAGCTTCCTAACTCGGGGCCTGACAACCCATCCTCAAACAAGCTACCCTTTGGGGAGCAGGGAACAAGAAGCAGAGATAACCTGTCTAGCCTTTGCAGGTCAACGCTGGGCCTTGGGGACGTACTTATCCTGGCTCAGGATGAGGGCAGTCAAGGTGGACGCAACAATGCCCACGCAACCCGAGATGGCCCACCAGGGATTCTGCACGAAGAGGCCCAGGGCGATGAGGAGGCCGCTGAGAGGGTTGTTCACAAACATCACCTGGGACATGCCTCGGAGCACCCAGTCAAGAAACTGGAACACTGGAGATTTGTCTGAAATGATAGGGCAAAGTCGGTGGACACTCAGAGCAGGTTAGGCCTGGGCTGGGCCTCAGGTGGCAGCAGGAGCGGGGGGGGGGGGGTGTCATCAGGGCCCCAGCCTGCATTTTCATCAGTCAGGGCCAAGGCTAAACAAAGAGCACAGGGATGCATTTGAATGCCCAGAGCATTTGCCAGCCATTGCTAGGCCAATGCAGTCTCTACTCGTCTCTAGGCTGCTTTTCCCATGGGGGGAATCAGGTACCTACCTTGAGCATAATTCTGCTTCCCATGAGAGTGGCATAAAATTTCCAGAAAACTCGCTTGCCGCAGAGAGGGTATGAAACCCATGAGCCAGGCAATGTGGAGGTTTCTAGAGAGAACCCCCTGCCCCAGTAGACACAGTTCCCCTAAGCCATCCAGCATGTGTTTGTCTAGGATGCCGGATTCAGAATCCCAGTCTTGTCTGAAATATTCGGTGGTATATTTGGGTCAGCAGAACTTTGCTATTGACAAACAAGAATGCACACAACTATCCATCCTCATAGCACAATTACAAATATGGGTGTTTATGTCGCAAGAGACCCTCCGTGTTAATGGAAGAAGGAGCATCTCTGAGAGGCCCCCAAAAGAGATCTCCAGCTGGCCCACAGAGCATTCCTGCAGCGTGTTTCCACGGGACAAGCAAGGCTTTGGGGGTTGTCAAGGGCTTATGCCACAGACTGTACCTTTAAGTCTCTCTCCGCATTCCTTCATCTCTCCAGTGATGTAGCTCAAGGATTTGCTAACTCGCTTCCCTGCAGCAGCCATGAAGCTCTGGATCCAGGAAGTCCTGGCCGTGTTGGCTTCTACCTTTATCTCAGAGCTCTCCTCCATGGTGTCCATATCCTGTCCAGGGACCAGAAATAGGGAAGAATCGTCCACAGTGCTGTGGTTTTCACCCCGGGTGACATTTGGAGTCTCTTGGAGGCCAAACTAAGGTTTGCATTTGAGATTTTGTTAAACTGCTGTTTAGCCAGCTCCCTGCCTCGTTAGGTTTTTTTGTTGGACACGTCATCATCTTTGATACATTCAACCTCAATGACGTAGAATGGGATGGTACTGTCACCCTGGTGCTGTGGATGGGGACTCGGGCATACAGGAGTTCTTGTTGCAAGGTTCAACGTCAAACGGCAGGATGAAGAGACAGCCACACCTGTCTCGATTTTCTTAAAAACGACGCCTTACATTCAACCTAAAAGAAATTATTTCCCCTCCTGTCAACCTAGTTTTTGAATTTTAAATGCAAAGGTCTGAGATTAAACACACAAAGACTCTTAAAAAAAAACAACCAAAAACCACCCTGGTACGATCTTATTTCCTAAATGCAAACTGATGGTCAATAACAGAGCGGAAGGGACACCAGCTCCCAAAGCGGAAGGGAAGCCAGCTCCCAAAGCGGACTGCGAGAGAGAGCTATTTCTATCCATGTACTGCATCCATCAGAGCATCCCCGATGGATGGCATCTCCCCACCCTGCTGTGGGCTGCAGGCTGCCGCCTCGGGTCTGGGGCCACCACACTCACGAGCAGCTCCACCGCAGGCTTCCGATATGGGTAGGGAAGCGGCTCTTTGGTTTGTTTCTCTTGGTGTTCACCTTTTCCAAACACTGGAGTTGGGAGGAAAGAGAGAATCATCAGTTCAGACACCTGAACTTTGGCACTTTTACAGTAATTTCTGCGAAGACTCGAGTTGTACCACGTGTTGTCTTATTCCACAGAGGAAGCTACAGTCTACAGACAAGAGTCCTTCTTTTCCTTTATGGGTCAGGCCCATTTAGGGCCTCTCTTTGTGGACGGGGGTGCATACCGTCATGTTTGAACTTGGAAATGATTCTCTGCATGCAGAGGATTTTAAAATCACCCCTCCCCGCCTCCCTCTTTTGATTTTGGCATTTGTTCTTAATTTTGAGATGAGGTCTCACTATGTAGCCTGCCTGACTGGCCTTGAACTCCTAGAGATCTATCTACTCTGCCTCCCAAGTGCAGGGATTAAAGGGGACTGCCACCATGCCTGGCGGAGGTGACATTTGATTTTAACCTAATGGTGGTCACACGTTTGCTCTGTGGTCTAAGACTGACACATTTCTGTTCCTCTGGTAAATAACCTCACACCATACTTGGGCAAGAAACACTAATTACATTCAGAAAATAAGGAAAATGCTTTAACAACCTTTTGTCTGAATTTTGGCATTTTAATAGGTTGGATCAGGGCACATGACATTCATGCAGTCACTTTCAGTAGGTTTTGAGATGTCTTTATGTCCTTGTAATTCTGCAGAGCTCTTGTAACTGTGACTCTAAAGCTCGTTCATTGGTAGGCTGGCTCGTTTTTAAGGATGATCCTTTTCCGTTAAGTCCTCTTGGGAAAGAGCAGGCCCTTTTGAAGCTTTGGACTTGGTACTCTGGTGCCCTCCTGTGGTCAAGTGTGAGAATGGCAGGCTGGACTCTGCCTTCCTGTTTGCAGCCCGTGTTTCCCCTTTGGGTATCTAAGCATTGGAAGGGATGTACCTAAGGCACCCTGTTCCCACTTGTGAAGAAGCAGGGGCTACAAACACCAGTGTGGTTTGGAATCACATATTTGGAGGCGAGTTAATTTTAAAAGCTTTGGAAAAGGAGTAGGAAACAGAGAAAATGCCCCTGAACTTGAGGCTCTGACCCTCTGCTTCTGTCTGGAGCAGCCTGCCAGGCTTCAGCATTTCCCAGGGACTCCCCCATCCCAGGCCTCTTTCTTTGCACAGGGCTGCACTCCCCTGGGCCCCTATGGACAGGGCCTCTTCTCAGAGACCTGCACAAGTCTCTCTACGTGCAGGATTTCCCATAACCAGTCTAGGCTGCTTGCTCTAACCTGGCTGAATTAGTTATGCATGGATGGGATTGGAGAAAGGACAGAAAGACAGCCAGACACTGAGGTAGCTTCTGGGAGGCACGTGATACAAGGGTCACCAACCCAGGGGTCAGTTCTCTACTTTGCAGTGTCCTACACTGGGTACTGTCAGTGTGTGTCGGGTACTGTCACTGTGTGGCGGGTACTGTCACTGTGTAGTGGGTACTGTCACTGTGCGTCGGATACCGTCACCGCCACTGTGCGGCGGGTACTGTCACTGTGTGTGTGTGGCGGGTACCGTCACTGTGTGTGTGTGGCGGGTACTGTCACTGTGCGGCGGGTACTGTCACTGTGCGGCGGGTACTGTCACTGTTTAGTGGCTGCCTGGTTGTCTGTTTTGAGATGGGGAGCTGGGGCCTGTGTGTGAGGCAGACAATGTACACACCTTTGCTCCTCCTCCGGATGGATGACCACTCGATGTGGAACACACTCCTCCGTCTCAGGAGCACAGTTTCGGAGCCCTCCTCTGCCTTCCACTGGCCTGATCTGGGGGACTGCTCTCCCCTGCCACCTAGCCAGGGGCGAGAAGAGACAAGTCAGGATGCCACCTGATCTACATCTCTAAGAGCCAAGCTGTGGAGGCGAGGAGAACACAGGAGCTAGGGAGGTGTGAGCGATGCAGCTTGATGCTGGAGGAGCAACTGCTTCTGTATTTGTGCAAAGCATCCCACGGCCCTGCACCTCCCTTTACAATGTCCACTTCCTTTCTCCACAGAAACTTAAGCTATATCTGGTCAAGGGATGAACGAACCAGGAGTTGGCCCATTTAACCACACTAGAGGGAGTAAGGTAGACCCTGGGCTGACTCGCCAGTCACTCACTATGCTTCAGCCAATGACTTGGACCTTTCTGACAGAGTTCCAAAACTGGCTGTATATTAGACCACCTGGGGGCTCAAAAAACATCTGAGCCTACCCCACCTCAGACCAGTGTAAAAGGTAAAAGATGGCCACCATGTGCAGCTTGGGCTGAGAACCGTTGATAGTGATTCTTGCTGCTCAGTCCTTGCCGCAGCCCGAGCATCAGTCAAGAGCTATTAGAAGGTGACACTGAAGGAGCATCCTGGGGTCCACATCCCTTAGCGGTGCCAGCCAAGAGTTGAGAGAGAGAGGTGGAAAGGGGTGAAGCCTGAAAATGAACCAACCAACTTCCAATGGCTTGAGAACACTCAGAGCAAAAGTGAGAACAAATTACTCTGGGCACCTAGGAAACACTCTCAGAACCCTCCGGGCAGAAAACAGTAACTTCAAGAGCGTCGAGAACACGGGCCCACTGCTGTAGAAATGAGGTGTACCATCCGTGCAGTGTGAGAGAAAGCATAGAAGCACTGGCTTGGGTGCAGAAGCCATTACCTTCTGCTTGGCATTTTGCAACTCGTTTGTAACCTCATTGACACTTTCCTTAATTGCAGGATGTAATTCTTCCAGAAAGAAATATACAGCCCCTGTAGGGCCGACCTTCTCAACCCCACCTGTAAACGATGACAGATTTCTGGAAACCTAATCTGTAACCAGAAAACGCTTAGGAAACACCCTGGAAGGAATTATAGCCGTTCACACCCCAGATACATCCTCAGGGAGGACACTTCCCGCTGATGGCACCGGCTCCTCTGCTCCAGGCAGGATGGTCCCTTCTCCTTGGTGAACGGTCTCGGTTTTCCACCTGCCTGCACAGACTCTTACCTAACTTGATTTTTCTCCAGCACCGCCACCATCTAGCACACAACCAGTAGACAGATGATAAGTGCTGAGGATGCTGTTGAATAAATTAACGAGGGACGATCATCCTTTGCGTTCTAATTTCTGAATGACATAACAGAGAACAAATGGCTATACCGCAGCATGGAACATGTTTGTATGTATTGATGTGTGTGTGTATCCATGTATATGTTCATAGTATATGTTCATGTGTGTGTGAGTGTGTGTGCGCACATGCCCCTGTGTGTAGACACCAGAGGTTGACATTGGGTGCCTTTCTCATTCCTTAGGTGTCGTGGTGTAGCCAGCAGAGACTGGCCCCAGGGCTCTCGTCACCATGTCCCTGTTTGTGTGGAGGTGCAGGTGTTGCCCCGTCAGCACAGCTGCAAACACTCTGGGGCGTGTGGCTGGGCAGCTCTGTCCTTGGCAATCCGTGTTTCACTGGCAGCAGGTGAGTAGCTTGGGGTATGCAGCCCAGTCAGGAGCTGTTGCTCTTCCTCCCCCACCAGTTTTATCAAACACTCCGATGCACGCAGGCTCATTCCAGGGCAGCTTAGGACCATCCCAGGGGCACGGTCCGTATCCTCAGGGATGGCTACCATCTCGTGTTTTAGAAGGCAAAACTTTAGCGGCACTTTCTTTCTGGTGGCTTAGAAGAAAAACAGTTTTTAGCTCTTATTGTTTGAGCTCTTTTTGGGGCAGTAGTGAGCTCAGAGCTCTCCTGCCTCTAAAGACATCTAATGCACAGAAATGCCAGCCGTTAAAATGACCAGGGAACAAAGACTTTGTAGAGCGCTTGCTTGTGAAATAAATCTTTTCACGTATTGAAATTTCTTTGAGGAAGCCGGCCCCCTCCCCTCAAAAAACTCAAGCAAAATTTGATTGATATTTTTTTCAGAAGGGAAAATTCAGCTAGTGTGTCTTTTAAAAATTAGCCCATCGAGGCCCATGCCTGTTGATGCTCACAATGTCTGTCATGGGGAGCATCTGACCGTCCACCATCGTGAACTGCTTGTTCTTCCCAGCTTCCTGGTTCTCATGTTCTTAGGACACAGCCAATACATTAGAGCAATTTCCTAGCATTGCCAGAATGGCTTTTTCTGAGGTACCATATCATACACAACTTGACTGTTACTGTTTACCCTTTGGTGATAGTTTGGGCAGATGTTTCCCTAAGGCGAGCTTCGTGCTATGACTTTTCATTGCCAGAGAGAGAGAGAGTGAGAGAAAGAGAGAGAGAGAGAGAGAGAGAGAGAGAGAGAGAGAGAGAGAGGAGAGGAAGGCAGGGGAAGGCTTCTGAGTGCTAAATGAGATGATTTATTTCTTTTCTTTTTAAAATTATTTCTCTGTATAGTTAGTGTTTGCCACTGTGTATGCCATGGAGGTCAGAGGAGGGCATTAGAAACCCTGGACCTGGAGTTATGGGCAGTTGACAGTCACCTCACACGAGTGCAGGGAATCAAACCCAAGTCTTCTAGGAGAGCAGAAAGTGGTCTTATTGTTGACCCTTATCTCCCCCTCCCTTTTATCCTAAACATTTTTTATTATACTGGGTTATACAAGGTCATTATATGCATGTAACGTATTCTTAACACATCGTCTTCCCATACACTGCTGCCTTCCATAACCCCTTTGTCTTTCTAGATGCATTCTTTTCTATTTTCACATCATCTACATATATAGGATACTTGTGGATTTATAAAGTTCAGGAACAAATGAGAAAAAATTTGTACTATTTATCTTTCTGAAAGGATGCAACTTTCTTAATATGATTATGTGTAGTTGCATCTATTTTTCTATAAACAGGATAACCTTATTCTCCATTATGACTATCTATCTATCTATCTATCTATATGTATATATATATGTATATATCTCACATTTTTTTTTATCCATTCCCTTGCTGAGAGATACAGCATACCCATTGTGAACAGTGCCGCAATGAGCGCTGATGTGTGAACATTGCTATGATACGGTGACTTGGAGTCCTTGGGTAGGTACCCAGGGCTGGTGTAGCTGGTGGCTCTTGTTTTTTACTTTTGAAGCTGTGTAAACTGAAGTTAATGTTTTCAAAGATTATTCTATACACTATAGAGGCCTTGAATCTTAGAATTGGAAAAGAAAAAGTAGAATTTTGAGATTAGTTGGTCAGGTCCTCTCATGTTACAGATTTTCTGGACTGGGAATTTCGCTCTACCAGTTCTCCCCTGCTTCCAAATGTGGTGGCCTACAGCTGCTCTAAAACCCATTATTCTTTTACCTGTTTCTTCCCTATTCTCAAGAAAACACATTCCTAAACCTTCCTAACGCTGATGGACTGGGCAGTAACCTGAAAGGCAGATTGGATGAGGAGGATTTGGTTCACGAGGGCACTTTGTTATCTGGGATACCAGTCTCTTAACACATGACCGACAGTCCAGTTTTTATGAATATGGGGTATGTATGACTCTTTGTAGTCATGAGGTAAGTAATACTCGTATTAACAGTTGAGACTTTGAGCTCCTCTCTTTCCCCCACATAGCTCACTAGTTGGCCAATGGACATGCCAAAAGTTTGATTTCTTTTGCTGCTTTTGTCTCGCTCCATGGAAGACATCAATACGTATAAATGAGCTGACACCTCATTAAACTCATGAAATCTTATGAGAATCTCGTAAATGAGATTAGAGAGTCAAAGGCCAACTATAACATAGGTAATTCTTGGCTCATTTTCCCTCAGAATGACATTGCTCTCTCTTTCCATCCGATCTACACCCTCAGAACCGTGTGTTAGCACAGCCAGTCTTCCTGAGTTTGATCTGTGTTCTTCTAATCCATTCTGTACTCCAACTAAAGCTGTATTTTAAATTCCATTTTCTTACTCAATAATCTACATAGTGCCCCAATGCCCCAGCTCCTCCGCGTTTCTAGATATTCTTTAATAGGACAAGCATCGCTAGCCAACCTCATATTTTTGCTTCTAACAGAGATTCTGCTATGACATGCTAGCTTTTCATGGCTTCTCAATGTTTCCTCCACCCCACACCTAAGCTGTACCCCCACTTCTGTCTTGTTTGGGTTCTACATGTTCCCTGGAACTCCCCTCGGCTTATTTTTGTGACGTGGGTTCATCCCTCCTCTGAATTCTCACTGCGTCTTCACAAAAGGTTCTAGGTCATGCCTTTTGGAGTTTAGGCTGTGGCAGAGGGTTTTTTTTTCCTTAATTTTTATGTAGCTCAGGTGGAGCCTAAATGTACAGCCCTCCTGCGTTAGTCTTCCGTACACCGAGATTATCAACACACACCAATCACATCAGCTCATGGTAGAATTTGACACCCACAGTTGCAACACATGTGAAATGTATTTGATAAATATTTTTCAACCTTTTTAACACACTTGGAGTGACCAGTTCTTTCACAACTAAGTGACCTTTGAGTCTAGGCATTGGTAGAAAGAAACTGAGGCCCAGAGAGAAGCGTCTCATCTGGCCCACATAGCTGGTCAGTTATAAAGCCAGGTATGACCACGTTTTGAATTTTATTCCAGCAATGTAGGGGTCTTATAGTTATCTGGAGCCTTTCGCATGAAATCAATCGGCTTGTGACTTTTTTTTAAAAAAGAAAAAATTATTTCATCTTTCAGAAAGAATAACAAAAAACTACAAAAATAAGCATCACCATTGGGAACAAATCGTCCTGGGTCATTGTCATAGGTTCTTCTCTAGGCAAAGCTTCCATATTCTCTTTCCATACACCACCTTTTGTGCCTTTTCCCCTTTCCCTAGGAAGACCTAGCTAATCGATTGCAGACCTTTGCCGGTAAGTTTAGATACATCCTCAGAATCCTTAACACGATGACTCAAATATCTAATGCTAATCAGAGTTGGCCCTTGAGGGTAAAATTGTTTTTCCTTCCAACATTATGGAAGGGTATTGGTGGGGTACATACTTGACAGGAGGGGTACATCTGGGTGTGGTGTTGACAGTAGGCAGAGGCCACATGTAGAGATATCTAAGGGTCACAGAGTGTCATTTCACAGTAGAGAGATCAAAAAGCCAAAAATAAAAGGCCGAAAAAAAGCAAAATCCTCTACTGTCTATTAATAAGACTCTAACTACTTGAACCAGACCCAGCAGACTTGTGACATTTTATATAAACAATTACAACCCCTCTATAATGATTCTTGGATCTTCTCCATAAATGGCCAGGAAGGACGAATGAGGTTCTAGAATTTACTACCTAACAGGATGACGGGCTGCCCACCTCTTATCTACTCAGATAGGACTCGTGAGACAAACGGCCCATGAGAAAAGGCCAAATAACTTCTCTTAACTGCCATTAAAGTGCCCCGTTGTCCCTCAGGGGAGCGAGTCTGTCTCTCGGAATTTGGCTGCTGCATTCCAGTCTACAGCATAAACTCTTCATTGAAACTTTTTGGTGGGTTCTGGTCTGGTAAATGCTGTCCCTCCGAGCCTTGGGCTTCCTTTCCCGGCAGGATACTTCGGTGACTCAACCCGGGGAATCTTCCCTTCCCTTCTGCTGCCCTTCACTGCGAGGCTTATGGTGACTGGCAGCATGCTCCATGGGCACCTGAGAATCATCTATAACTTTAAAAACCTTCCCTGCCATCACCACCCAGCAAGTCCCTTGTAAACTGTGGAATACTTCCATTCCTGAGCACCCATTAACAACCACTCTAGTCGCAGAGTTCTGAAAGACCCTGACAGTTTTTATGGTCAGAAATCAGAGGAAATAGCGGCACAGATTTGGCCTGTTCTTATCATGTGGCCCACACCCATGGAGCCATCAGGAAACAAAGAGGTATCCTCACTGTTGATGATACCTGATTAAATATGCCCCTGACATCACGGGCCTTCTAGGAGCTACCTGGCCTTGAACTCAGGTGGTCTTTCTGTATACTACATTGCAAGATTCACCTAAAGCAGCCCTTTGACACTTCTCTGGGTATAAGCTGAGCTGATTAACAAGACAAACAGAAATCTTAGCTTCCAGTCAAGCCTACTTGGGCCTCAGTGTCTCCTCCCCACTTTCAACATACCAAGAGACTCAACAGACTTCAGACCAGGGCTTTATAGCCACCCCAGAGGGATGGTCACAGAGCCCAGAAAATAAGCTAATGCTCCCCAATCCTCCTAATGGAAAAGACTTAACAATCTTCCTCAGACTGTACATCTGAGGGCTAAAGCTCTCCAAATCCTAATCAGGCCTCTGCTCACAGACTCAGACATTCTTCACACAGTCTGTTTCCAAAGTCTGTCCCACTCGTCAGGGCAATCCCAGAGGAACAGTTAGACTCTGTCTCCTTTTATAGCCTGTCCAGAGTCGGGGACTGTGCTGGTAGACTGGCAAACAGATTCCACTGACATCCTTTCTCGTGCAAGGATGAAAATATCTGCCAGCTCCAGGGCATACCTTAGCTGGGCGATGGAGCACTCCTCACAAAAATAGAAAGGGCCTCGGAGGTAGCCAGCCACCACAGAACACAGTATTTCCACTCTGGGTTCCCTGGGTCCCTGCAGTCTGGCCTGCATTTCCAATACCATTGGGAAATGAACGAGGCTCTCAGAATTAAGTACTGTTTTATGCAGCCTGGTGACCCCCATCTTCTGGGAAGGTCAAAATGGCGAATCGAAGCTTTGTGACAGGCTCCTCCCCTCATTGTGTTAATATCACTAAGACGGACCATCACGGCGGTCACCTCAAACGAAGACAAGCCTCACTTCAAGCATCTTTCCAGGATCACGTCACATGAACCTGGGAGATGGAGTCCATCTTCTAACCCACCCACAGGACAGAAAGTCATCTGAAGCTGTCTGAACCTGACTCCTCGGTCATGTCCTCAGCTGGAACCAAGTTCCAAGCCTGCCATTCTGGATCCAACCATCCAGCGTTAAGAAGGTTTTGTCCCCTAAAATCCACCTCTTCCTGTGAGCCACCTGGGAATCTCCATCTTGTGTGCATCCAGCTCCAGGTGAAATCTACGTTCAGATTCCTCCAGAGCCCAGTTTATTAACTGGCCCGGCTCGTGACTTGAACGGTCACTACTGCCTTTATCTGTTACCCCAACATCACTGGTCTCTAGACTGGGCACAGGGCTCCTTTTCATGATCGTAGTCACTCTCAAACTTCCTGTCTGTCTCCCTCACACTCTGTGAGCCACTTTCAAGCTCCGTAGGTTTCCCTTCTCTTGTATTCCTGCTCGTAGACCCTTTCCTAGTGTCTTAATTCTACTCTGTGTCTTCCACCCCTTCTCCCTTCAGTTTCTGGTAGATTTGGTATCTTCCCGATCGTGGGTCATTAAGCACCAGACAATACTGCCTCTGGCGTAGCAACCACTGCCGTTTACATCGGTCCCCACCTTCTATCACTGGAACCCTCTTGACCCCCAAATGACGTCACAGTCTAGCTTTTAAAACAAGGCTCAAACCTTTTACATCATGTGGCCTATGAATATGCGGCAGACCAGCAATGTCAGCTGGGTTCCCCGGCTGCCCTTTTGCAGCTCCCAAATAATTCCAGATGAAAGGAGACTCCCTCCCCCCTTTGTTAATGATTTGACCGTGTTGATCTGCCAGGGCAAATGTAGAAATAAAAAGGCCAAAAGTAAACCCTCCCCCAATAAAACTAAAAATTCTTTACTCTTACGGTCAGATCCCAACTGCTTAGCACTTGACCCAGTGAACTGTATTATAAAAACAATGATAGCCTAGCTCCCAGTGGTCCCCCCATCCTAAATGAACAGTCGCAGGAAGGGCAAAAGGAGTCATAAAATTTATTTTCTATCCTGAGAGTGAGCTTCCTATCCACTCACATGTGACCCCTTACAAATGGCCCAGGAGGGGTGTCCTGGTCATTTTTCTTACCCGGTATTACTGTACCCAGTTCTCTCCCAGGGAGGCGATTCTCTTCCTCTGAGAATTTACTCACTGTGTATTAAAACCTTTAGAACTCTGTATTAAAACTTTTGTGTTGGCCCTGGGAAGCTGGCCCAGCATATTCAGCACTTACAGTACAGCACGAAGATTGGAATTCGGATCCCTAGATCCACAGAAAGCCAGAGGGTGTAGGAATTCTAGCACCTGGGAGGCAGGAAAGGGGGCCAGGTCAAGCTGGCTAGCCAGACTGGCTAAAATTGGTGATTTCTGGGATCGGTGAGAAATCCAGCCTCAGTAAATATAGAATGATTGTCATCCAGTGTCAACATTAGCTCTCTACACACATGTATACATGCACAACTGCATACATGCTTGCACACAAACACACTTTTATCTCAATTCATATCAGATAAATACTTTTACCCCATGCTTTGGTCTTGAGACAAATCATATATTTTGTAAAATTGTTCCTGTTTCAATCAGATAGCTTCAACATCCTGGAATAATGCTTCTTATGGTATGGCCTCCTTTCTCTAGCCATGTGGAATAAGTCTATGCTATTGAAATTGGTATATATGAGGGCACCAAGGATATAGCTTGTTGAGGAGCTGGAATGTGTAGACACACCCGGGCTAGGATGACCCAGTTCTACTGGCGTGTCTATGAAAAGGAACCCGACACAAAGAGGTAGGTGAAGCCTGGAACAGGTGACTGGTCTCTGCAAACAGCAGGCAATGACTCCCTAGAGGAGGGTACTCGAGACCATCTCATTAGCCAGAGGTTTCAACACAGTGCGTCCCTGGGGACCCTATGACGTCAGAGCTATAAGGTTTGAAAACTTGTGGATTGGATGACAAAAAGCACATGGCTCACTCATGGGAAAGGGGATCCGCTGGCTTATTAGTGTCCCTGGCTCTATCACGAGGTGCATGAGACAGGCAGCTCAGGTTGCCAATTCACACACCTGAAGTTTGGCCCTCACTCACTCATAACTCAGGTAAGTCTCTGGACTAGCCATGATTTCTCCATCTATAAAACAAGAGGTTAGCACTGCAAATATTTAAGAGCCTTTTAAATGTTAAGTTTCCAAGACCTGGATTTTTTTTTTGTCCAAATTCTTAATAGATTTCCTATCCCATGACTGCGTCCCCAGATACAGTTCAACAGAAGAAAGGACAGCTTCCTTTTGCAAAGCCAGGTGGTTCTGCAGGTTGGCATCTACCTGGCTCACTTCTGCCCCAGCGTCTCTTACCTGGGCTTCTTTTGATTCCTAGACAGGGCTGGAGGAGCTTCTTTCCAATGGCTTTGGTCCTCAGCTCCGGGTGCTGCGCTGTCTCCTACACCTGAACCCCCTCACTTCCCTGCTTCTCTCAGCCCATCCTCTTGACAACTTCCTGTAAATCCAGTCATTCTGATCCCCGAACCCATGCCTGGCACAGGTCTGCCAACTGAGGAGGAAGAAAGACAAATGCCCTTCAGCAGCCCTCTTGCACCCTGGCCTTCTTGACTAAAGCTGCTTCCTAAACGCCCCAGGGAAGATGTATTCTAGCTGCCATGGTCTCCATGCCAGCTGGGTCAGGCAGCTTCACTTTCCTTAAAGCGCAGCCCTGGCAACTGTCTTGTTGCTTCTTTGTTTTTCTTCCTCAGGCGTTACCCCTCTCATTAGAACTCCGGCTCCAGCATTTTTCTTTAAGCAGTTACCTAAGTGTTTTCTCCTTGGGGGGCAATTTGCCTTCCAAGCCCAATAAGTGCACTTAATTCCCCAACAGGCAGGACACAGGCTGGGGACTAGGTGCCTGCACCTGTGTCTCAATGGAATGTTTTGCCTAGTATTAAATGTCTTTCTGTGGAAAATTTCAGAGCTTTCCTCCTGACACCTTTTGACTGGGGTCTCCTGGTCACTCACCAGGACCCTCTCAGATTAAGAAGGGCATGACCTAACCACTGTGGCCAAAATATACCCTGAGGTCTATATATCAGAGAGGCTGGCTCTCGAAAGTCCCATGAAGCCATAGATCTGATGGGATGACTTGGCAGGGGCGGGCTATCAAAACATGTTTTGCTTGGCCTCAGTGTGATGGGTCAGCAAGCCACACTCGCACGCTTAGGGGTGGAAGGTGGCATCCTCCCCAGGATCGGGACCATACCTCACACCAAGGACATTAGCTCCACATGAGTAGACAAACTTTCCTGCTGACGTCAAAGGGTCCCTTCCTACCCCAGGTGTTTGGGGTTCCCAAAGACGGATCTTGATCAAGGAGGGTGAAAAGCAAACAGAAGGGGTGGGAGGCTCCCAGGTGCCCCCACATTCCAGGGACAGGAAGGGAGCTGGTAGAGACTAGGCCAGTTCCAGGCTTACATGGCAGGCTACTAAGCCTGCCCTTTCTTCCCCCTGCCTGTCTGTCTCTCAGCTCCATCTTAGACGCTCGCCCTTTGTGTTCCTGCCCTGGCCTCTTTGAAGGGCTCCTGACCTTTCCATAGTGAGCTCAGTCCTGCTTTTCCAGCATCCATCCTGGTTAACTCAGACACAATATGGAGGTGCTGCTAATAAACAAGGATAGGCCAGCTACACTGGAAAGAGAAGAAGCCACCCATGAAGAAGCTGTCCAGGAAGGTCACACAGGGTTCATGAGATAACAGAACCATGGCGTAGCCCTGCATCTCTCAGTCACACATGTTATACACACGGTCCATGTAGGGTGAGGCATTCAGCTGTCCTAGAAAGCAGAATGAGCTGGGGACTCTTGTGTCTGGCAGGTCCCAGCATTACCAAGGGCACTTGGAGCGCTTTAGGCTAGACCATCTCTTAACCGGAAGTCACTTCAGAATGAAGATTTCTTCAGAATGCTCCAGCTTCCTGCAATTCTGCATTTCCATATTTTAAGTAGGATAGTAAAGTTAATACCAGGGCCTAAGTGGTAAGCAGATTCTTCTGCGGAAAGGGCCATGCTCCTTGTGGAGTGAATTCAAGTTCAAGTTCTCTGGGCTACAAAGGCGTGGCCTCTTTTGCTTTACTGTTCCACATTCCAGCAGCCCCTACCCCCGACTGTAAGAACAGGCTGGGGAATCTGAGTTATCCCTCATAAAGGGTGGGTTCAAGGGGACTTGCTATCCTCCCTTCCACTTCAGTCCTTGAGGTTTCAGAACTTTTAGTTCCTCTTGAGAATCTCTGTGGATTCTTCTATCTTCTTGCAATGGCTAGAGGCAGAAGAAATACAAGTAGAATACACACATACATGCATGCACACACGCATATGCACAAGCACACACACACACACATGTACGTGCACAAGCACACATAGACACATACATGTGCACACACATGTGCCTGAGCACACATGCATGCGAACATGTACACACATATGAGCCCGTACACAAAGTGTAGATTCTTTTCTTTTAAAGAAGTTTCCAGATAAGACTGCGTATGATTTTGTTGGGTGGAAATCCTGACTACAGTGAAAACGCCACTCCCACCTGGCTTTGGATGCAAATGATTCCAGTCCCTCACAAGGTTTGAGATCGGAGGGAGCAAAGGCTCAGAGCCATACAGGAAGCACACTGGCATATGGGGAAACACTGGCTTGATGCAGTCACAAATGCAGTTTGAGAGGGCCAAGTGGTGGTTGGGTCTCAGAGTTCAGAGGGAAGCAGTACGGAGAGGGGCAGAGTGAGAGAAAGCTCAAGTGAGCGATGCTCACCCTTCCACCTTGTCCTCTCAAGTAACCAGGGTGAGGATTTTGGGGACCTGACCAGATGACTGATTGGTCAAACTCTAGAAAAATCTAGAAAGCAATAACGGCAGATGTTGGTAACTCTTATCTCTGTGTTCTGATGTTTCTGCCGCATTAGTGATATTTCATCTTTATTCTTCAGTGCGAACTCAGGATCCCAGAATCATGGATACTGGCAGTTGAAAGAGGAACACTGCAATGGTCACCTGGTCCAGCCCTCTGCCCACTGGACAGTGACTCTGCAGGCCTCCAGTTGCTTCTACATTGCCTGGGTGGTAAACTGAGTCTAAGCAGACACCATAGCTTAGGCGAGTTGCCTTGTGACAAAGAGACTTCCTTCACTGACTCATTGCGCTGTCTGTTACCCTGCGCTGCGCTTCAGAGTCTCCCACTGCAGACAGCTAAGGCTCTGCCTGCTTTCCTTCGCAGGCACGCTATCGCCATGCCCAGCGGGGTACGGATGCTTTGGCCCCTCTTCGCCCCACTTGGCCTCCTCTCAGCGTGCCCCTTTCTATCACAGACAGATGCCGCTTGTGTTTTCATGGTAGTCTCCCCTCCCTTGTAATCAAACCTATTCTCAGAAATGACACCAACCACCTAAGATGCGAGTGACCGACCCTGCTTACGCCATCACTAGCCCAGGGCTGTTTATATTTGAACAGGCTCCAAACCTTAGGGATGACTGGGAATGCTTGGGTAGCAGCTACAGGAAACACTGGGGGCAGGAGGAGAAGAGGCATAGAAATTTTCCTGGAGTCCTTACCGATCACGTAAATGCCTCGCTATAAAAACAGGTGTTGTGAACTTAAATGCCCTCAGGCTGTCTGGTCAGCATCCTTGTCCCAGGTGATGCTCTTCAGCTGGCCAGGCAAATCCCCATAACACAAATGCCTTGAAGGCAGGGATGGGGCTGATTCTCTCCCGGTTTATTGTCAAGCCCAGGGTTGAGTAACATATTAATAATTCCGTATTAAAAAAATCTTCTGGGTGAATGAGCAAATATGGTCAGACCACAAGGCAGAATTCGCAGGCTTTGAGCATTGGCAGATAGTAGTACATGGTCACCAACATGAAAGCCCAATTGGAATGGAATTAGGGGGAATGGGATGAAGTTGGGGGTCACATAGATTTCAAAGGCAAGAGGAAACAGATAACCAAAAATTCTGAACACACATGGGGGTTTGAGTGCATCTCCAACTCCAAAGGTTTCATAGAACCCAAACTTTGATTTCTGAACCCCAAGTTCAGTGCATCTGCTAAGTTGCAGGAATGAACCCATGACTGACAGCTGATGGGGAAGAAATACCTCAGAACAGAGCAAAAGGCCAATGGTGAAAACTGTGAAGGGGAGGTAAGTGACTTGGAACAGCCGTCACGGAGGATTAACAGTGGGGTGGGGAAAAACACAAGTCAGAGCTAGAAAGGGGAGACCAGCAACCACCACACCAATGGTCTGAGCAATCCTCTGAGGGGAAGAGAGACTTGGGTTTGCAGGCTGAAAGGCAGAAGATGCGAAAGAACATGTAGACTCAACTTTATAAACAGAGTGAACAAGTAAGAAGGAAGCAACCATGTTTCTAATTTGGAATAGAGATAGGAAATGAAATGACATTTATGGACAACTGGGGATCCCATGTCCAGATGTGGTCATGTGAAGAGTTGGAGAACCTATCACCCGTCTTCTTTTGGGTCTTATTTGAAGAAGATCCCTAAGGAAACCTTCCAAAGAAGTAACACATGGACGAGCACATGTCTGCAAGGATGGTGAAAATAGGCACAAGGAATGATCAGAAGTCAACGTTTGGGATTGGCAGGGAACTCAAAGGGACAGGCATGACATGGGCCTGACTAGGATTCTAGCCAAAAAAAGAGGCATGTTATTAAAAATGATAAATAGCCCCAAACACCAGTATTTCAGAAGTGAGCATTAGGTAGGGGGAGAGAGAAGGGCTCTGCAGGCTTTAGGGTCTCAGGCTGGGAAAGGTGGAGCATTTAGGATTAGTTATTAGGTATTCTGGTTTTACATGGTGAAGAAATAGGCTTATATCTCAAGTGCCAGGGAAACTGTCTAACTGCTAGCGGCTGGGAAAACTTGGAGGTTCAAGATGCCTTATACATATTACCAGGGCTCCAGCTTTCCATGTTTTGACTATTTTATGACCACGAAAGTCCTCTTCTGTGGGAAGCTCTTTGTGCCCATCAACCCCAACTCTAAACTAAGGCACCTTTACTTCTTGCCACATGTCCTCACGTGTCTCTGCTCTGCCTGTCTAGGAACCACTCCGCTGGGCCAGTTCTATAACATCTATTGTTTCAGACATGCCAGCATTCTCTCCCACCTCTCCTCTCCAAAGACTAAGCAATGTTTTTGTTTTATGCCAACAACATGTAAACCAGACTCCTCACTTCCAACTCCAGCAAGGGCATCCCAGCTCCCTTTAAGGCTGCACCATGGGTAGTTATAAAGATCTGGGCAGAGGGAGCAAATCAGCTTCAGGGTTACTGAGGGCCAGGTGTGTTTGATTTGCTGCAGGTGCAAGGAGAGGCAAAGAAAGTGGGCTAAGTTGATTGGCCCAGAGTTGAGAGCACAGGGAAGCAGGCAAGCGTGTTTTCGCTTGGAGCTGGGCTAGTCACCATTGGGGGACTTCTCTTCTTCATTGCTCTTCAGGGTCAGGAAGTAGATGCGGTTGGCCTCTGGGTAGGTGACTTTGCTGAGCGGGAGCTTGTAGATGCCAGGGTTGTTGCTCGTCAGGAGAAGGAAGATGAGTGTGGAGAGACAGAAGGCCCAGGTACCTGGGGGCACACCAACCTGCAAATTGAAACAGGAGATAGAAGAATGTTTCCAGGCTCCTGTGTTGGGCCAGAAACCTGGGGAGATGGATATGAGCATGGGGAGCCCTGCCTTCTGGCTCGTGAAGCATTAGTGTTTCTGGACTCAGTGGTAGAGGAGCTGGTCAAAGAATTTGAGGTGTTGCTCTCTTTGGGTAAACTCAGAATCTTTTAATGCTGGGCCTGAATGGTTCTGACTCCCAGCCTTAGAGTGCTGTCTGTCTGTCCCTGTTCTCCATTGCACTTTCAACACATAAACATAGACACACACACACACACACACACACACACACACACACACACACAAACTGTAGAACTACATGTAAAGAGTTCTCTTTTGGATGCATCATGGATAAACCTTGACACACACACCGGGTAAAGGACCAGATTCTATTAACCCTATACCATTCCAGTCTTCTCTAAGCCCCCAAGTGCCCAGAAGTTCTGACGGGGAGGAAAACTTTAGGCAGGTATCCAGCTAGCCCAGACTTACCACTGCCATCATGTTGGAGATGGCCGCCCCCATATATGCGCAGAACAGGGCTGTGGAGGAACAAGACCAGCAGAGTCAGCATCCTTATCTTTCAGTCACTGCCTAGTAAACCAGGATGGTCCAGATGCAGAGCTGGCTTTGCTACAACCCTGGCGGCCAATGCCAGCATTTACTGGATGCTAGTCTTTACTTTGCAGCTATTTCTCCCGACTATGCATTCTCTGAGGTCAGAAGTTGGAGCTTACGTATCCTTTGATCCTCTCTCCACTTTCATCATGACTTTTCATAGGGTTGATAGTCCCTTCTCATCTTGTCTCCACCAATTCTAACAAGTTAGCACAGACATACAACCAATAGAAGACCAGACAGAGGGGCTTGGTTGTCACTTCCTTAAAAACCTACCACAGACAAGTGCCAGCACGTGTGTCTGCCAGGTGAGGGCGTAGAACATGCCTCCGATAGCGATACAGGAGAGGACACAGTTGTAGCTCCAAAGGCCCATGTAGATCGTCTCAAAGGGTGTGGCCACAGTCAGCGCTATGAAAGAAGGTGTGGTATTTCTGGGTAACTTTGGGCCACAGAAGAAAGGTCTTCCCATGGCTACTGCCAGGCCTCCAGATGGCCTCTCCTGTCATTCACCATAGACCTACAGCTCTGCTTATCAAAGGGGTCTCTGTAAATGGCCGGTAATCACAGGCAATCAAACAGTAAGGGAGTCCTGGGTTCACACAGTGGTGTGCAGAAGTGTGCCTGTGTGCATGTATATGCATATGTACACACAGGTGTGTTTGTGCATGCATGCATGTATGTGTGTGGGTATGCATGCATGCATTAGTGCATGCGTGTGTGTGTGTGTGTGTGTGTGTGAGAGAGAGAGAGAGAGAGAGAGAGAGAGAGAGAGCATGTGTGTGCACGTGTGTGTGATGGCATCGGGGATAAGGAGCAGCCTAGGAAGGGACATTAGTGCCCACCTTCAGTCCAAGCAGCTGCATCATCAGCAGTTTCAATTCAATCAGAGGGTTTGGAAAAAATAAGTTCAGAGACACATAGATGGCCATAGACAGAGCTCTGCATGTCAGAGCCTCAGGGGCCGGTGGGAACAGCAGGGAAATCTGGGTAAAGAGTGAGGCTTCTTGCGTTACCGCTTTGCAATTTTGATGAATTTAAAATGATTTCCAATTACAATTCTTTTTTGGAAAGTTCTGTTCCCAAAGGTCTTGGCAAAACATTAGAATAATTCAAAAATAGTCCTTTACTCCCAGGGTCCCCTACCCCATTTTCTGACTCTATTGTGGGAAAGAGCATATCCATATTTAAATGTGTGTGCATACATACACATATGTGTAGGAATATGGAATTACACTTCAGAAATGCCAGTCCAATTTTAGGGACGCTTTCCTTTTAGCTTGCCTGAAACTTCCAAGTGCTGGACCACGCGCATCCCAGCTTGGGCCACCACTGCTCCCCTCCTCCAGCTCCCTCAGCAGCTGGACTCTATACTGAGGGCCTTTGCATTTCTCCACATGTTCTGTTAACTTTAATCTGCTCTCTCTGGAGGAGGCTCAAGGAAGAGAAAAATAGACACCCTACCCCCGACAGTGTTTAAACTCAAGTGAAGACAAGTCTGGGATGGTTGCTGTGTGCTGAGGAAAGTGGGCGAGGGTAACAACCCTAGAGATCTCCCTACAGAATTGGGGTTCTGTCTTACCTGCTAGCAGCCCCACGATGGACCCTATGGCTGCGTGCAAGCAGATGAGTGGGGAGGAGATAAACAGGGCCACCAGGATCATGCCACCTGTCCATGGGTTGTCACAGCCGTAGACCTGGCCGACCCCAACAGGGATGGTTTGTAACAGCTGCAAAGTCAACAGAACACAGGTCACTGAAGAGGGGGGCAGATAATGCAAAATCCAGGCATCAGGGCCCAAACCAGGCTGGTGGGTAGTGAAGGGGAACAGAAGGATGGCTGGGCCCTCCAGCGTGAGAGAGAATGGGGGAAGGAAGGCACAAGCTGGAACGAATACTTCCTCACTCCACCACCTACCAGGCATTCAGCATCCATCATGCAGTCAGGTGGAGCCCCTAACAGTGTTGGGCATGACTGCTTCTGGGCAACACATGGCTTTTACTCTGAGGGGAGGAACTTGGAGGGGGCCAGAATGCACTTTCTTCCTAGATTGCCACCAGGGTATAAGGCACCAGGGTATTTCCTATAGACTTCTGGAAGTCCTAGAAATATTCTGGAAATTTTGCAAGTATTCTAGGCTGTTCTCACAGATGATTTGAGAAATGAGTGTGGGTGCAGAGCCTCTGGAGCTGACTCCTAGTCTAAGGCCTTTTTAAGACACTATTGGCTTGTCTTGTTTGAGGGAGCTTGGCCTAGCTAGTGACCTTGCAAATTTAAAATCCTAGGGTGCCGGAGAGATGGCTCAGTAGCTAAGAGTATTTGTTGCTCTTGTAGAGGACCTGAGTTTTGTTTTCAGGACACACATAATGTTCACTGCCGTCTATAATTCCTATTCCATGGGATCCAGTACGCTCTTTTGAACTCCATAGACACTAGACATGCTTGTGGTTCATACACATATATGCAGGTAAAACACTCACACATATAAGATGAATGCATCTAAGTAATTAGAATAATTCTGTAGTTTTAGTGACAGCTCATGCTGGTGAAGGTGTGGAGTAAGGGGACACTCATCTACTGCTGGTGGGAATGCTAACTTGTACAGCCCTACCAAAATCAGTGTAGTGATTGATCAGGAAGATGGGAATGGATCTACCTCAAGATCCAGCTGCACCACTCTTGGGCATATTCCCAAAGGATGCTTCATCCTACCACAGAGAAGCTTGCTTGACTATGTTCATTGCTACTCTATTTATAATAGCCAAAATTGGAAACAACTTAGATGTCCCTCAACAGAAGACTGGATAAAAAAATGTGGTACATTTACACAATGGAGTATTGCTTAGCCATTAAAAAAACTGAAACCATTAAATTCTCAGGTAAATGGGTGAAAATAGAAAAAATCATCCTGAGCGAAGTATCTCAGACCCAGAAAGACAAATACAGCATGTATTTGTTTATATGTGGCTATTAGCTGTTAAGTCAATAACCAAGCTGTAGTCCACAGAACCACGGAGCTCGTATGAACTCACAGAGTCTGAGGCAGCACGCCCAGGGCCTGTAGGGTCTGCCCCAGGTCCTCTGTGCACATATTATGACTTCCACATTAGTGTATTTATGGGATTCCTAAGTGGGTCCAATTCTTGTGCCTCTTCTTGAGTTCTTTCCTTCTGTTTGTTTTGTTCCATTTGGATGTGTTTGTTTTATCTAATATTTTATTTATTATTATCTCCTAAGAGCCTGCTTGTTTTCTAATGAGAGACAGAAATGGAGTGGATCAGGATAGGAGGGGAGGTGGGGGGGGACTGGGAGGAGCAGAGGAAGCAGAAACCATAATAAGGATATAGTATGTGAGGAAAAAAAATTCCTATTTTCGATAGGAAAGAGAAGAAAAAAGATTCTATAGTTCTTTTCTGTATTAGGTTGTATGAGTCCAAGAGACCAGAGCCCTTTGTGGCTGAGCATACAACAGGTGTTTAATAACCATACACTGATTGCCTAGTGATTCTCAAACTTTGTGTCCATTGGCACCCGGGGGAGCTTTAAGCAATAAAGCTAGCCTAGGGCATCCAACGACATGCCAGTGGGCTTCCCTGGCTGCAAGCGAATATCCCAAGCAGCAGTTTGGTTTCTACTGGATTCATAGATCACCCAAGGCAGATGTGGGCAATTGCTTTGTCCTTCTCGGGGATTTGTCATCAGCTACAGGATTTGGTTTTAGAACATCTGATTTCTTTAGGGAGTAAAAAAGGTTCTCACAGAGAACTTTCAAGTGTTGGAATCTCTTGTTTCCTAATGAGAGGCTTTTCACAACTGCACTTTGTCACAAGCATCTGGAAGGGATGGTGGGGTGGGCCTGGGGTCCAGTCTTGTTTCCAAGGACCCGGAAGATGTGAACTGGAAGTGTCAGCGGATGTCTGATGACATAGCCGCATCTGAAGAAGGTGGACTGCTGAGCCCAGCTTCCACGTTTCCGTCTGGGAACACAGGTTGTAAGCCTACGCAGTCAAGAATGAGAGGGCTGAGGGAATGGTGTCCTGGGACAGAGCCTGGGTTCGGAACGAAGCACCTCCGCTGCGGGGATCCGTGTTTTGGCCTGGGAACTGCGCACTGCTACCGCTCCCTGCTACAGCAGACACCCGAGGTAAAGGGCAGTCAGGTGGACAGTGGAAATTTACCAAGCACCCGCCTTCCTCTTGTGGTTCCACGGGCTGCTTAGCCAAAGAGGAAGCTCGTCCTCTTTGCAGGGTCAAAGCAAAATGGAATTGACTTTTCAAGATGGGGTGTGTGTGTGTGTGTGTGTGTGTGTGTGTGTGTGTGTGTGTGTGTAGGGGGGATTTGCTGGTTGTCAAGAGTAGATTTTGGCAGGTGAGAGGGTGAACTTGGACGTCGAGATACCCAGATTTGTGTTCAACCGTTTGCTGTGTGCAGGCAGGCTTCTTTTCTCTGTGACCCATACCACACTGGCTACCACAGCACTGAGGTGTCTGGCTTTGCATGTGGGCTGAGGCCTTCCTTGATTATCATTACTCTCTAGCTTGTGCCACCATGAGCCTGGGGCTAACAGACACGTGTGTGTGCACTCACGTGTGTATGTGTGAGTGTGTGTGTGTGTGTGTGTGTGTTCCCCTTGCCGGTCAGATGGCTGAACATTGACAATGGGTCTAGTTTTTCTTCCTGCTCCTTTTCCTTTTCCTTTTGCCTCTGGAGCTGGGCCTTTCTGTAAAGGCAGGGTTTTGTGTGACGGTCCCTGGAAGACCCAGGAGTGATGGAGCTGAGCACCAGCAGAAAACCACAGCAGCTGTGGCTGGATGGCGAGGACCCAGAAGTCAAACCTGCTTCTATCTGAGGGCTTGGGTTATTTTCAGACCCTGAAAAAACTATGACAGAGGCAAATCTGAGGTACCCTAGGAAGCAGAGCTAGAAGTGTGGGTCATATATAAAGGGAGATGGATTTTCAAGGCCAGGGTGGAGCAAGTCTATACCTAAAGGGATCTGGTGCTAGGCAGACCCTTCTGGGAAGCAGTGAATTTTATCATATGATTGCCCCAACTTGTGGCACATTGGGAAGCAGGAAGTTTTGGCATATGATTGCCCCAGGCCAAGGACACACATCCAGCCTGGAGTATGGGCTGGTGGTTCAAAGTTAGGATTGTGCAACACCTGCCTAGGTATTATGCTAGGTGCTAGTTGCAGGTTGACCTTGGACAGCTGCCTTTGTGCCTCAGTAAATTTGAAGTAATTTACTTCCATTTGTAAATTGGAAGTAATGGTAAAATACTTGATCAGGTATCACCCTGTAATTCCTGTAGGGTAGAATGAGTTAATATAATAAGGGTTTAGGATAGTGTTGATACATAATTATAATCAGCTTGTATTTATTCAACATTAAAGTATTATACATGATACAAAAGTACTAGCTGGTGCCTATTTCTATGTTTGGTGACAAGGCTAAGGTTTTATAATTTTAAATACTTTTAGACTCTTACGGTAGATTTTTATCATGTTCTTATGTCCTTATGTGCAGACATCAGGAAAGTCAATGAGCATGCACATTTGTAAGCTGGTTATAAAGAAAACCCTCTGGCTCTACTGACATCCCAGTTTATCTAATTCTTTGTTGGGGGAGCGGCGACTGTTCTGTGCACTGTAGGATCTTTAATAGTATCCCTGGATTCTACTCACGGGATGCCAGTAGCATTCTCTATTCTATTGTTATCATTGTGTGTGTGTGTGTGTGTGTGTGTGTGTGTGTGTGTGTGTGTGCACGCCACAGCACATGTGTGAAGGTCAGAGGAAAGCAAGCATTGGAATTTGGTTATTTCCTCCCAGTATGTGTTTTGAGGGCTGAACTCATAGGAGCTTAGATTATCAGATGTGCATGACAACCATTTTCCCCTGCTAAACTAGCTCACTGGTCTAGTATTCACTTCTTAGTCTCCCTCCTTCTCCCCGTCTTCCCTTCCGTCCTCTTTTTAAAAACATGGAATCCAGGCTGGCCTCAAGGTTGATATGGTGTTGAGGATGACCAGCTCATTTTGCCTCCATCTTCAAGTGTTGGATTACAACCATGTGCCTCTGCACTAGCTTTATATGGTGCCGAGGACTGAACCCAGGGCTTCATATACGCTTGTCATGTATTCTACAAACCAAGCCAAACTAACCACTGGTCATGCTTGACAGTGAAACACATTTCTAGACATTGACTAAGGTTCCCGAGGAGTAAAATTACCCTTTGCTTGAGAATCATTGATACAGAGAGTAAGGTTAAAAAAAAAAAAAGAATCCATCCTGTCTTCTACAGGTAATAACTAATTAAATACTATTTAAAAGTATTTGTGTTAGTCTTATTTCTTTATCAAATTGGCTGTCTCATCTAATGCTTTTCATTCAGCCGCAGCAACCTTACATTGCCAACTTCACACTTACAGTTCATGGCTAAGTTGTCTCTTTTCTTGTCTAGAATGTAGGTCTCATAATTGGGTACTTTCAGGTATGTTCTTGGAATCTGAAAATTTCAGGCATGAGCTAGATGTCTAGTAGAGACTTGCTAAATGTATGGACGTGGCTGCAGGGCATTCCTGTCTATGCTGAGGCCATCATCTGGCTTCTTTCTTTCCTTCCTTCCTTCTTTCCTTCCTTCCTTCCTTCCTTCCTTCCTTTTTTCCTTCCTTCCTTCCTTCCTTCCTTCCTTCCTTCCTTCCTCCCTCCTTCCCTCCCTCCCTTCCTCCCTTCCTCTTTCCTTCCCTTCCTTCTTTCCTTTCTTCCTTCTTCTTCCTTCCTTCCTCTCTGTTTTTTTTTTTTTTGAGACAGGTTCTCATTATGTAGTCCTAATTGGCCTAGAGAGCCCTATGTAGACTCAAACTCATAGAGACCCACCTGCCTCTCCCCCCTCTGAATGCTAGAATTAAAAATATGCATCATCATGACCAACCCCATTTGCTTTCTAATAAAGGATGGAACCTGGCTAACACATCACCTGGCAACTGAAAGGGTCCACGGTACAGCCCAGTGTTTTAGACTCATTGCCACTGGGTAACTTACCAAAGGCATTTCAATCTCTGTCCAGGAGATATTGGGAACGGAAGACACAGGCTCGACAAGCGTTGTGGGGAAGAAGAGGTTGTAGTGGCCTGTAGCTGCCAGGTACAGAGTTAAGACAATATTGAAGGGCAGCGTGAAGACTGGCACATCCCACTTGGTGAAGATGCTACTCAAGGCACTGGAAATAACTGGGCTGCAGGGAGAAGAGAGAAAGCATTCATCTCCCCGATTACCCTTAAGCTGACTCTGTCTTACCTCTGGCCATTGGACCATCTAATATCTCCATCTTCGAGCTTCCTTTGGGATTCTGGTGGTTCGCTGAGCTAGGATTGGGAATAAGGTTCTCAGTTTGAGAAAGCAAGATAAAAACACAATACTTTGAATGGAATACCTTGGGAAGTGGTTTAAATACGTCTTTGTTTCCTCAACTGAGGAAACCAAATGAAACATGACCTCTGTAAAATGCCATTATTGCCTCTGGCTCATCCAGATGTGTACCAGCTGTTGCCTGGGGCGGTGACAGCATTTTTTTGGGTCTATCCTTCTAGATGGACGATACTAGAACATGTAGGCAATGAGCAGGATTGGGCTCCGGGAGCCGCTCTGGGGACTGCTAGACAAAACAAAATCTTGAGTTGTTTGCTTACTCTGCCTTCTTGGCCTCTGGCCTATTCCTGGGAAAGAGCATGGATCTTGGACACAGATGGAGCTGAATGCAAATCCAGGCTCTTATAAAGCAGAGACTAAGTAAGCAATGCTCAGAAATGAATTTCTCCCAGCTTCAGCCTTGCCTGGAAGGGATTAGCCACTGCTGATACCCCACACATCTCTCAGCTCAGAGGCAGCTGGAAAAGACAGCTCCGTGACCTGGTTGTACCGCCTGTCTTTAATTAGAGGCACGGCTCTCACGTGGGCAGTCGGGCCTGCCTGAACTAACTCGAACACACTGAGAGCTGCCTCGTGTTTGCTTTTCTCTTTGAATTCTTACTGTCTGCATCCCTTTCTGTCTGGGTCAACCGCAAAGTTTTATTTACTTCATAAAAAAGAGATGGGATGGGAAATAGTTCATTTTCTCGACCATAGAAACCCACGCCCTGCCAGCTTTGCCCCACATTGCCTCTCTGCCTCCCACATCTGATGGAAGTGTCCCTACTCCTTCGTCAGATTAGCCCCTTCCCCTGCTCTTTGGTTTGGATTTGTCTCAAGGGCTTCACTCTCGTGACAGTTTCTGTAACATTCTATCAGGCTATGGTAGGTACAGTTAAGTGGTGTCTCCTCCAAATGTTCTCTTCCTTTAACTCGGCACCCACTCCTTCCCAAGCCTGCTGTTCCACAGCAGCGTTCCTCAGACCGACTGCCCTGTTATCCAAGCTGCCCTGCTCCTATTGTCCCTGCACCCCATCCAGTCAGGTGTGTGTTTTCAATTACAGCACAGACATGGCTCTCATCAGGTTCATCAAATGACATCTCACTTGGCGAGTTCACCGTCCCCTCCTTTCTCTTAATTTGAAGTTGGAATCTTGCGCTGTATGGAAATACTTTCTGTGTGGGCTACCACGGCATTGAGCTCTCTTAGACTGCTGCCTGCTTACTCCTTCTCAAGTTCCCTTCCATGACATTCTCTCTTTCCTGCCAGGCAGCCAATTATCGGAAGATTCCTTGGTTCTGACTTGGATCCTTTCTTTCTCCCATCTTCTCCTTTGGGTGGTATTCTTTAGTCCCCTAGATGAAACACCTTCTATGTGCTTCTGCCTTTCAAATTTGACTTTGTTATTAGCATCTAGATTTGTATGTCTAGTTGGTGTCTCAACACCTCTGCTTGGAAGTTTAACACACTCTGTGTCTAGAAAGAAGTTTGCTTCTGTCTCCCTGTTTTGCTCTTAGACATCTCCATGACCCATATAGTCAAGCAAATTACAATTGTGTATTGGATATTCTCCCCTGAATTTTTTCCTATTACCATCTTCTTAGGAAGTCTTGTTGCCTTTGTCTTCCTTAAAGAAACCAGAAACCCAGTCTTTTCTGACAATATTCATGGACCTCACTCTAGTTCAAGCATTCCTGTCTCTGTGGATCTTTTTAGCAAATTATTATGATTATGAAACCATTCTTGCTCTGTCTAAATCCATTCTCCACTTTGTAGGTGGTGAAGCTTATTTAGCTTTGAGTTTGCATCATTGCTCTAATTCAGACCTTGTAACTGTACCATTTTTATCACAGATGTAATAAAAGCTGGAATATTTATTGGATGCATATTGTGCTAGGGACCCACGTAATCTACTCTCCTTTTACCCCCTGCCACATCTCCATTCCTCTCAGGGCCTCAGTCTCTCTGGTCTTGCCTCTATTTCTTGGAAGTAACCCATTCTCCATTTGGAGTCTTTTATCTGAGGCATCCTTGACCTAGACCTTTAGTTGGTATGTGCCTTCCTGTCATATAAGTGGTGAGCCAAACTTCCCATCTGCAATGTGTCTTTCCCTGACTGTCCGTGTCTGGGGTCACTCTTGCTTTTCTCAAAGCACTAAACACATCATGAATGAGTTTTATTTGCTAGTTTATAAGTTTTCCTCCTATAAACTAGTTAATAAAGAAAAAACATAAACCCAAGAGAGTAGAGGGTCCTCCTTATCCAAACTCATCAATAGTCCCTGTGCTCAGTGAATAGTCTCAGGCACTCAGATTATTGGATGAATCTTGAAAATAGCGCTATGATCCCCAGGCTAAAAGAACTGAATTCCAAGGGCTGCATGAATGGATTAATGAGCACACCAGAGTAGAAGGTGGTTCAGAGTTCCACCCAGAGCAGGAGTCAGTGTTTTCTGCCTTTTAATTTGGGAAATGGGGGTTGGGGGCATTGAAGTCTAAGCAGCTACCCAGTGCCATATGGTGGAGGGGCTGTACTGAGGGCTTGAATCTATGTAGTTTTAAAACAAATGCATGCAAATGAATGTGAGCTCTGCTCCTCACTGGAGAACATGTGGGGAGCATTAAGAAAACCCCCTACAGAAATGACCATCTTATCTTTTGTTCTAGTGCATCAAGGAAGATAGAAACCCCAAGAAGAAAAATAAATCCCCCAGAATGCCTAATGCAGTAATTTATTTGCGAGCGCCACTGAAAAGCAATGAAGCAGTACTTAAGCTAAATTGAACTAACTGGTTTTAGTAACTCCAGACTTTGAAACCTAAGAAAGACATTTACTTCTTGGAGATGTTAAAAATAAATCACTACATCTGATTTATTGCTGCGACCAGGAATAAATCACCATGTCTGAGAGGGGTTGAGAGCAGGGCGGCATAGACGTGTCACGTGAAAAGTTGGAGACACAGGCTCACGCAGCCGCCGCCTGCTTTCGGGCCATTTGGACGCATTTCTGACCCTCTTCAAATTCAGACGGAGTTAAGATCGTCTGTGTGAATGGCTAAGCAGCCTCTGCGTTCACCTCTTCACCTCTGCTCCTACCGCTTCCCTCTTGAGGAAGCTCTCAACTGAAGGTTCCAGCTCAAAGACTGCGCTTTGCAGCCTGACCTTCTTTTCCAAGAAGGCATTCTGATTCTATCACGGGTGTGTTTTCAGATTTGAGAGCTTAGTTAGGCCCCACAGTGGATGGTTCCCATGTAGGCTGGAGTTTAATAATGCAGATTCTAGATTCAGAAAGCCAGCCTCAAAAACCTCTGACTGTCTGACCTGGAATGAGGTACTTACTTTCTCTATGTCTTAGTCTTCTCTATGCAAGCTGGGAACAAGTATAACCCCACCTTGCTTAGCACTGTGCCAGGTACTTACAAACTATTCAATAAATGTCAGCCTGTATTACTTTTGAAGGAAGATTAACAACTCAATAAAACATGTGGCCTTTTATTGCTTTACAGGGTCTCCGGTAATCCATATCTCCACTTAACCCCATTGCATTGCTTCTGAAATCATGAATTTATTATGAATTATCATGGTGTCTTGCTAGACAAAGCCATCTGCTTATGGAGAGACACTGGGCTACACAAGTGCACGTGTCCCATCCCTGCCGTGTGAGCATCTCTCTGAGCAGAAATAGGGAGGGGCCTCACCAGGCCATGGAGGCGAAGGTCACAGGAAGCAGAAGCCACCAGTAGAAGTCTGACTTCTCTGAGTACACGGCCACCAGCAGTCCCACCAGCATCCCATTGTAGCCATGGAGTCCAGAGGCGATGGTGGACCTGGGTGGGGTGGAAGTTATTTTGATTAGCATTTGGTGGTGCATGTTCACTTTCACCGAAACTCTAGCATCTGCATAACTTAGATGATTCCTTTAATCACAGATGGAAAGTGAGACTCTGGGGGACTAGAAGTGTAGATGGCCCAGTGAAGGAGACTTGGCAGCGTAACGTAGAAAATAAAACAGAATTAACTAAAAAAATCAGTAGCCCTCCTTTACACACATGATAAATGGGCTGAGAAAGAAATCAGAGAAGCATCACCCTTCACAATAGTCACAAATAGCATAAAATATCTCAGAGTAACTCTAACCAAACAAGTGGAAGACCTGTATGACAAGAACTTTAAATTTTTGAAGAAAGAAATTGAAGAAGACCCTAGGAAATGAAAAGATCTCCCATGCTCTTGGGTAGGCAGAATTAACATTATAAAAATGGCAATCTTATCAAAAGCAATCTACAGATTCAATATAATGCTCATCAAAACCCCAGCAAAATTCTTCACAGACCTCAAAAGAATGGTTCTCAACTATGTCATATGGAAAGGCAAAAAACCCAGGATACCAAAAAAAAAAATCCTGTCCAATAAAGGAACTTCTGGATGCATCGCAATTCCTGATTTCAAACTCTACTACAGAGCTACAGTGCTGGTATTGGCATTAAAAACAGACAGGAGGACCAATAGAACCAAATCGAAGACCCAGGTATCAATCCACACACCTACAAACACTTGATTTTTGACAAAGAAGCAAAAAATATCAAATGGCTAAAAGAAAGCATATTCAGTAAATGGTGCTGGCACAACTGGATATCAACATGTAGAAGAATGAAAATGGATTCATATCTATCACCATGCACAAAACTCAATTCCAAATGGGTAAAGACCTCAACATAAAGCCAACCACCCTGAGTCTCATAGAAGAGAAAGTGGGAAATAAACTAGAATGCATTGGCACAGGAGACCACTTCCTAAATATAACCCCAGCAGCACAGACACTGAGATAAACAATTGATGAATGGGACCTCCTGAAACTGAAAAACTTCTGTAAAGCAAAGGACACTTCAACAAGACAAAATGGCAGCCTACAGAATGGGAAAAGAATTTCACCCACCCCACATTGGACAGAGGGCTGATCTCCAAAATAAACAAAGAACTCAAGAAATGGTTATCAAAAGAACATATTGTCCAGAGAGAGAAAACTCAGAAATGAAACAACCAAAGACCAATCCAGCGTAGTATTTGCATATGCTGTGTATTGTTCAGAGAGGAAGGGTTCATAGTTCATGGAGACTAATTGGGAAGTCATCCCGGAGGAGGAAGACTTGGAGGAATGATGGAAGGAGACAGGGAAATGAGAGTTGGTAGAAATTACAGAGACAAACTGGTGTTAAGCAAACTCTTGGTAGGAAAGGGACATTAAATAAGGTTTTAGAAGTCACGTTCAGGGCTTGGGTTTCTGTTTGATGTTTATTTGTTTGATGATTCCTAATCATAGTGTTTTGGGGGATGAGGTGGGCCCAGTGTGCACCTCCTCTGGTGAAAGTAGTAACGAATGGAGTGACTCTTTGACCAGTTCGGGAGTTTACCATTGGATTATTGTTGAGAGAAGAATCTGGGAATATGACTGGGACTTGGGCTCATTTACTATAAGCCATAGGTTCTTACAGGCAAGAGTGATGGCGCTAAGCTGGACATGCTTGTCTGAGGTTACAAAGTGAGGACAGCAATGGGCTGAATGGCCTCAAGGTCAATTTCAGCAAATTTTGGTCAAACAATATCTTCATTAGGGTTTCTATTGCTGTGATGAATACCATGACCAAAAAGCAAGTTGGAAAGAACGGGTTTATTCAACTTACTCTTCTGTATCACAGCTCATCATCAGAGGAAGTCAGGGCAGGTCCTCAAACAGGGCAGGAACCTGGAGGCAGGAGCTGATGCTGAGGCCATGGGAGGGGCTACTTTCTGGTTTGCTTTCCATGGATTGCTCAGCCTGCTTTCTGATAGAACCCAGGACCACCAGCCCAGGGATGACACGACCCACCCTGGGCTGGACCTTGCTAAGTCAATTACTAATTAAGAAAATGCCTTACAGGCCTGCTACAACTTGATTTTATGGAGGCATTTTCTCAACTGAGGCTCCCTCTTCTCCGATGATGTTAACTTAAGTCAAGTTGACATAAAACTAGGCAGCACAGTCAGTAAGAAGGGGTTCTATGCCAGCCACCCATACAGTGGTGGGTGCATTGGAAAGAGAACTGAGGCCCACTGGCTGAAGCAGACACTCAACCTTAATAGGAGTATATTATCAAGTAGCTCACCAGACCTGCACACTCAAGAATACAACTTCTAGTGGCCTCACTGCTGTCAGGATTGGAGCCGTCCTTCAAAGTCACTTGGAGGTGTGGGGACAGACTCTTGGAGACAAGCTGATCGATGTATTTACCTCAGTGGACTATATGAAAGGTTAGCAGGGTCTAGAGAAAGCAGGATGTGCTGATGGCTTAATGCTTTCTGGCCACCGCTCTTCTGGGCCTTCCTTCTAAGCCTAGGGCCACACTGTACAGGTGTGATGACAACAGCCCCATGGCTTGGAGCCTAAGCGAACTTTATAGTGTGGGCAAGTCTGTGTCCTATCAGTCCCACACAGTAACTTAGGCAGGACCTTGCATCTGCTCTTCTTTTGTCCCTCAATTATAAAATACAGACTCTGTTTCATTCATTGGCTACTTCTGGTTGTGATGTTGAGAGTCACAAATATCCATGCAGGCTGGTAAAAATTGTTCTTGAGAAACCCACTGTAAAGAAATCTATTTTATAGTATGATCTTGTTTTCTTACCACAGATACAACAAAAAATTCATATTTACTTCGACTCTGCATCAATAACTTTAATCTGTTGTATTTTACTGAGTGGTTTAATTAAAAAAAATTACTGATGGCTCAAGATCTGCAGACCCCAAATTGAAAAGCATGAGATATGGGAAAATCTAGTTTTATCCAGATTTCTTAAATCATAAGAAGTTCCTGGGAGACTGAAAAGTCTCTTCCCCAAACAGAGCAAATGTGCACCAAAATCCGTGCACAAAAGGCTCCCAGTCAAACTATTTGTGATAGATTAAACATTTCAAGGCATGCTGTAGCCAGAGCAAGAGAGGATAAAGAGATGCAGAGGGATGGTCCCGGTGACTGTCACCAGCGGAATACGGTGCTGTTGTGATGGGTATGGACACATCAGGGGTTTCCTCTGTGAAGGATATGCTATTTCTTGGTACACATATTCCTTGCATAGATCTTAATAAAGCTGAACAGACCAATGCTTCTTGCTAGTCATTCCTGCTAGTTATATGCCTATCCTGGAAGAACACAAATTGTAAGTGTTCAAATAATAGATCTAAATGTAATAAAATATGTGCTTAGCACACAGTAAGTGTGCAATAAAAGATTAGTCATTGCAGCAACAAAAGAATGCCTTTCATCAGATCCACTGAATGAGAATATTTACAGGTTGGAGGAAAGCGGGTGGGGTTGAAGTGTGTTTCTTCAAGTCATGGCCCAGGTGGTTCTGAACATCAGGAAAGTTTGGGGGAATGAATGTCAGAGAAATAGCTAACAAAGTCCTAAGAGAGTCAAATTCTACAAGATGCTATTTGTTAGTGTTACTTGGTTTCCCACCTGCCAGGCTGCCTCCATGCATGTTCCCTTCCTATTGCTTCTGTCTCTCCAAATCCTTGATGCCCCTCCCATACCATCCTCCCTTTCCCCTCCCATCCCCCACACAAACCATGCATCTCTCCACTCCTCCCAGTACTTGGAGATGTCAGTTTTCTTCAAGCTCTCCACCATATGCTATCTTGTTATTACTTACTAATCTTGCCTCCTAAAAGCAGTTTGTGAACCTCCCTGAGAGACAATAGGTTAAGTATTCCCTTATATCTTCTTCAGAAGGAGTATTTCCAGAAAGTTCCATAGCCAAGCTCAATGTGATGCTATTGCTGTCCTGGGCTAGGACAGTGGATTCCATAGCAATCTCCAGTGACCTGCTCAAAGTTGACATTAGAGCAGTTGCCAGGGTTGTTTATTTATTTATTTGTCAACTTTATACAAGTTAAACTTTCCCAAGAAGAAGGAATTATACTTGAGAAAATGCCTCTATAAGATTGGACTTTAGGCAGGCCTGTAGGGCTCAGCTCACTGGAGGCACTGCTAGCCCTGGGCAGGTGATCCTGGATAGTTTAAGAAATCAGATTGAACCCACCATGAGAACAAGCCAGGAAGCAGTATTTCTCCATGGCTTCTGCTTCAGCAGCTGCCTCCAGGTTCTTGCCCTGACTTCCCTAGATAGTTGACTACACATATCCTTTCTTCCCTAAGTTGCTTTTGGTCATGCATGTAGAAAAGTAACTAAGAGAGGTTTTAGGTGGCTGATCACCCTTTGAACTTTGCCAGTATAAGGTAGAACAGATTTTCAAATTTCCTGCTTCATTGAAAAGTCTGCCAGATACTATGGGCCTATAGGTTGAAGATGGATGCCCCAAAATTAAAAAGAACTTTGGGTAACTGTCCAGGCAGCAAGATGTCTCTGTCATTTCTAGAGCTTTGGAAGTCGCCTACAACGCACTTCCTGTTTACTTAGGTAATATTATATCCTTCTGGAGTCTTTAATGGAGTTGAAGACAGACAGTTATAGTTTTCCCTAGTTATGATAAAAGATAAATTAGATGTGAAACTTTCCAGATACAAATAGACTAAATATTGTAAGTGTAATTCTTGCTTGACACCTGTTTTGTTATATGTAATTTTACTATATTAAAGTTAAAACCGTTCTTTTTGTTTAGACAGAAAAGGGAGATGATGTTGGATTCTATCTGTATGCTGTGAATATGTTTTACTAGTATTGGTTAATAAAGAAGCTACTTTGGCCTATGGCAGGGCAGAATATAGATAGGAAGGAAAATTAACTGAATGCAGGGAGAAAGAAGGCAGAGTCAGGCAGACCCCATGTAGCTGCTGAAGAAGCAAGATGCAAGCCGGCCGCCAAGGAAACAAGACATGTAGAAAATGAGGTAATACCATGCCACATGGGAATACATAGACTAATTGAAATGGGTTAATTTAAGATGTGAGAATTAGCTAGAAATATGCCTGAGCCATCAACCAAACTGTTGTAATTACTATAGTTTCTATGTGATTATTCAGGTCTGGGCGGCCAGAAAATGCATTTCGCCCGTCTGCCATGCACCATGCACTAGGTCCATAGAGAGCACTTACCTGTCCTGGCTTAAGGCAAGGGCAGTTAAGGTTGAGACCACTGTCCCCAGGGCCCCAGCAATTGTCCACCAGGGATTCTGGATCAGGAGCCCTATGAAGATGATGAGTCCACTAAGGGGGTTGTTGACAAACATCACCTGAGCTGCTCCCCTCAAGACCCAGTCTAGGAACTGGAGGACCAGGGGCTTATCTGCAAGAGATAGACAGTGTCACCAGCGGGGTACAGCCTGTGTATCAGACTACTGGTTGGCATGGGAACTGAGGTGCACAGCGATGCACAAGTCAGGGTATTTCTCCTCTTTCAGCCTGGCTTGTGGTGGGAGAGTGAAGGAGTTGGGAGTGGGTTTTGGCACTCAGCCCAAGGCTCTGAGTGGCCCAGCAATTGGTCTCCAGCGGGTGGTAGTTTTTGCCATACAAACCGAGGGAACACGCTGAGACCAATTTAAAGGAGTTCCAGCCATTGGCTTGGTTGGCAAGGAGCCCCAGGAGCATTCCATGGGAAATTTATTGGTCCAAGGGAAGCGGTGGGGAGGGAAGCAAAGTCCCACATTGTGTAGTGCTGTGTGACTCAGTTGAGGGCTGGTATCTGAGCAGCAGAGAAGGTCGCTTCAAGAAAGGATGTTGGAAAAAGAAATTGTTAAAGCCCAGCTGTGAAAATCATTATTGAATTGGGGCCTAGACGAAGCCAGGTGTAGGAGAGGGGACATGCGTTCTGCCTCCTCTGGTGTGGTTTCCAGGGCAACCACGCTGGTGGGGGGCAGGTAGGGACTGATGGGGAGAGTGTGGTGTTTACTAAAGCATTAAAGTTCAGAAAGAGGTGAAAAGGAAAGAATCCTGGAGCTGGGAGAGGGAGATGCCGATCTTTTCTTGGCACATAATAGGCATCATGAATGGCTGTGGGAGAAGTGGAGGAATGGCCAGGCAGTTTATTCGGGCAATGGCTCGTATGTCACTAATTTGTTTGCTCTATCAGTTCTGCACAAGGATGAATGACTGGCAAAGGACTGAAATCAATGAAATGTATTAATTCCAAAAGGGAAGGACAGGCTAATTGGGTTCATGACCACCTGGGGTCAACTCAGCTTTTCCTCTCTGTGTCAGCCCCTGCTGTGTGAGAGAGAGAGGGAACAGCTTCGTTGGCCAGGCTGGAGGAGAGGCTGTCTGTGAACTGCCCCTTGCTCTCCCTTGGACACTGGCTTACCTTTCAGCCAGCTCTGGCATTCCTTCATGTCACCAGTGAGATAGCCCACAGTTTGGAAGAAGCTGAAGCCTCCCTGGGCCGCAGAAGCCCTGCGGGGCACCTCACTTTCTCTCCTTTTGCTCCTTTCACTGGGTCTTTGGATTTTCACTATGTGGCTGTCTTCATCAGGTGATCGGAGATCCTTCATGGAAACGGGAGGAGAAACTATTAAGTGGCATGCCTTTCGTGTATTGATCTTTCTTTGAGACAGGGTCTCATTGGTAGCCCAGGCTGTCCTTGAACTCACTGTAAGGCTCTGGTAAGCTGCCTTGTGCTCTCAACCCTCTCCACTCTGTCTCCTGAGTGCTGGGATTGTGAGCACGTGCTAGCAAACACCGTTTTAAATGATGTCTTTTTGAAGGTAGGGAACTTGGGAACAGAGGGCACTGTCAGGGATTCTGATCGAGATGTGGGGTCATGAGAAAAGACGAGACTTACAGCTGTGTCTAAAGCTGTACCCAGTGTGAACCTGCCCATCCCAGGACTATTTCAGGCTCT